TTGGGGGGTGCCACGCTTTCACCGTGTCCAGTTTCTTCGGGTCGATTTCTACGCCAGGCTCTGAAATAACGTGCCCCAAAAACTCTAGCCTATTTTGGAAAAACTCGCACTTGGAACCCTTGGTCAGTAGTCTGTGTTTGTCTAAAACTGTAAATACTGCTTCTAAACCGGCTAAGTGCTGCTGCTTGTCACGACTGTAGACGAGAATGTCGTCGAGGTAGATGATCACACATTTATCTAAAAGTGGCCTAAACGCCTCGTTCATTGTCATCTGGAAAGTCACCGGTGCGTTGGTCAGCCCGAAAGGCATCACTGTGTACTCGAATGACCCGTATCTAGTCCTAAACGCTGTCTTTGCGCAGTCTGATGGTTCGACCCGAATCTGATGGTAACCTCCCCGTAAGTCAATTTTCGAAAAGACTCGTGCTGTTCGCAGTTGATCTATCAGCTCGTCGGCGCGGGGGATGGGGTATCGCAATTTTATTGTAACCCTGTTCAGTGCTCGGTAGTCGATACACATGCGAAACCCTCCGTCCTTTTTCGGTGTGAACAGGATCGGTGCGGCGAGTGGCGATGAGCTTGGTCGGATGAATTTTTTCTCTAACTGCTTCCTTAGCTCGTCGAGCTCGGGCTGTGTCAGTTTGAACTGTCGCTGTACGGTTGGCTGTGCCCCGGTTTCTAATTCTATTTGATGATCGTGCGCCCGCTGAGGTGGCAGTCCCTCCGGTAAGTCGTCAGGAAAAATCCCCGGGAATCGTCGCAACAGTTCCTGTAGTTCGGGTGGTACGGCCGCCAGCAGCTTCTGAAAATTGCTCGGCTGTTCTGCTTCCTTCACTATTGCGACATCTACCGCGTACATGTTAGCTCCAGCGGCGATAGCCCGTTTCATCGTGATGGCGTTGACGTGGACCGTTGGCGACTCAGGCGACTGCCAGCGAGGTAGGTCGACCCAGTTACCGCTACTTCGCACAGTACAACTTCCCGTCGTCCAGTCTATTTGTGGGTTATACCGTCACAGCCAAACACGTCCCAATAGAATGTCGTGCCCATCCAATGTTGTCGCGAGCATTTCCAGTGTAAACCCGAAGTTCCCCCCACAGCGGACTATTACTCTCTCCACCTTTTCCCGTATGGCCAGCGGCGTTCCGTCAACTAAGCATGCATCTATCCCCGGTAAGCACCGACTTGTCAGAGGTCCACTGGTGATCCCCGATTGATCCTAGGGAAGGGTTACAGGCACATTGGCCTGGAGGGTTATGGGCGCACTCACCCGCTACTTAACAAGCCCTTTTATCCCAGTGGTTAGTGGCTGGGATTCTTACATGCTATCAGAGCAGGTCGATCCCCTTGGATCGATCCTGTGGGTGGTCTTACCACCTCGTTGCTTCCGCTGCAACTTCCACTGCTACCCTCTGTGCCGCACGCCCCGTGGCGTGCGGCAGTTTTTCTTCCCGCCGTGCGCCCCGAGGCGCGCGGCGGTTTTCTGCCCGCCGTGCGCCCCGTGGCGCGCGGCGGTTCTCTGCCCGCTGTGCGCCCCGAGGCGCGCGGCGGGCTTCTGCCCCGTCACTCGGCGCGTCGCCCTCGGGAGGCGCTGCGACGGGCGACGGGGACCCGCGCGTCGCCCCCCGTCGCCCGTCGTGGCCTGCGCGCGGCCCGTACAGGCTGCGCGCGGCCCGTAAGGGCTGCACCAGGCCCGGACGCGGCCCGTACGGGCTGCGCCAGGCCAGCGCGCGGCCCGTACGGGCTGCGCCAGGCCCGCGCGCGGCCCGTACGGGCTGCGCCAGGCCCGCGCGCGGCTCGGGCCGCCTGCGCGCGGTTCGGGCGGCTGTGCCAGGCCCGTGGGCGGCCCTTTCCTCGCTGCCCCTGCCCTCCCCGCTGTCCCCCGTGCTTCTACTGGCGCCCCACCCCTCCTACAGCCCGTTCTCCTGAATTAGGGTTTGGGGGTGAGGGGTATGGGGGTGAAGCCACTGTGTGCCGTTCCCTGCTCCTCCTCCTCCTCCGTCTCCCTGTGCTGCAGCTGCCGCTGAGGGGGGGTGGACTTGTTGGAGCCGTTGGAGTGGTACTAAGGGGGGGTGAAGGGGGAGTGGAGCTAGCGGTGTAGCAGCGGGTGTGTGAGAGGGGTGTTGGGCAGCTGGGGGAGGTTAAGTGGAGGCAGCAGTCTTGTCGTCAGCAGCATCAGCAGTCCGGAGGCTACAATCTCCGGTAGTCGCCAGTCGCCTGTGGGTCAGTTGCTCGTCTGCCGCTACTTTTAGCCGCGGAGCCAGTTACTCCTGTAGTCCGGGCCTTTGCTTCGGTAGCCACTGAGCCAGCAGCTCGTCTGTGTGTCTGCAGCGTCAGCAGTCGCCTCCCATCTTCTCTCCCCCACAGTCTCTCCTCCTCCTCACTTGCCCTCTATGACTACCACTAGCTTTGCTCATAATTGTGAACTTTAAACTATTGCTTCTTGAACTTGTGCTCAGAATGTGTGGTGACATTGTGATCCACCCTGAGCTTGTACTGCTTTACTTGCTCTGCTGATTACACCCCACTTTGGCTATGGGGGTGTGTCAGAATATTATGCTCTAGCCTGTAGTGGGGTGCTCTATAGCGAGTACAACCCTTCTAGGGTTTGCTATTTGTATCCTCATTCTTGCTAGTGCAACTCTCTTCTTCCTTTTAAACTTTCACACGACTAAGTGTCAGTTGCAGCTTCCTTGCAGTCGCTGTATTAACTAAGCTGTGACTTGCGCCTCCGTCTATAAAAATCTTCACTGCTGCTCCCTGCATTTTCCCGTGAATCAGTACTGGGCAATCCGTCGCTGTACCCTCCTTATTCGTCCGAGCCCGATCGATAGCGTGAATCGGTACTGTGACTCGGTGAGGATCGGTGAAGTTGGGCGAGCAGGCAGTCTCGTCAGTAGTTGGCCCAACATCTACTGACTGCTGGCGTTTCCCGGCCTCTGAGACTCTCGCCCCTGCTCTCTTCCGCGGCGCCATAGTTCTTATGGGCATTCACTCTTGCGATGGCCCGGCCTATTGCAAGAAAAGCAGCGCCCCTTAAACGTTGCGGCAGCTGCATTTATCGCAACGGCGTGTACAGTGGCGTGCTCGGTCAGTCCCCGAGGACGTTGTCCGTAGTAGGACCCCGGTCTCGGTCGTCGTAGGATGTCGATTTTCTCGGCGAGCGCGAGGATCTCGTTGAAATTCGAGAGCCCTCGTAGCATAATTTCGTGCGATATGTCCGGCTTTAGCCCTCCGACGTAACGGTCCACCCGCTCCGCTTCGTGCATATAGCCGACTTGTTCGCATAGTGCGAGAAAGCCGCTAGTGTAGTCTTGAACCGACCCGAGCTGCCGCCAAGTGCGCAGCTTCTGACGCGCCGAAATCGAAGCCGCGATCGGCTCAAAACGCGCTCGAAGCCCTGCGCACCACGCATCCCACGTGCTGTACTGGGCTGTCTCGCAGAATGAACTCCAGGTGACGGCTGGGCCAGCGGGCCCGTCTTCTTGCGACGGTGGCTTGTAGGCGCTTGGCGACGTCACGATGACTCGCCACCAGTCCATGGCAGGGCCCCTCAGCATCGAAACAGCGTAGCGGATCTTCGTTGCGTCCGACTCGACGTAGTCCGCGTCGAAGAATACGTTCATCATGAAGACCCACGACTGAACCGTCGGACCCCCACGTTGGCTTGGGTCGAAACAGGGCGGACGCTGCGGCTTGAGCGGCATTGGTGCCGTAATGGCGTACTCGCCACTTGTCGCTGCAAATTCCACGTGCCGACGGGCTTCGCGGGGCTCCCGTGGGCTTGGTGTGACTCTGTTTCGCTCCATGCCAGGCATTGAGTGAGCGGCGCCCTCACTGGCTACGCCTGAGCGCTGTCCGACGCTGTCGTTCTGTGTTGGTGTGTCGGAGGAGATAACGATCGGCTCCTCGGAGTGTGCAGGTGCGTTTGTTGGTGCTGGTGCATTCACTGTCGATTGTTGGCGAGCGGAGTCGCGTTCCGCCGTGAGTGTGGCGATTTCAAGCGCCGATTCTTCGAGTTGGCGCATGAGCCAATCTAGCTGGTCCTGTGTCAGTGTCGCGATATTAAGTTCTGCCATGGCGGGGGTGTCGGGCAAGCTCAGCGAGAGCCTCTGTCGTGGCCGTGCGTGCTTACGAGAGAGCACTACGAGCGGCGGCGCTTGATCGCTGAGGGACGTCTACCCCCCCCCAAAAAAATTGAGATAGTGGGGACGCGAAGGTGTGGGTGCGGTCCGAGAGAAGATCGTAGGCTCTGATAACCAAGTGTTATGAGTGCAATTGAGTGATCGAGCGAGGATTGCACTATCGAGACAAGAATACAATGAGCAAAGGATTTGAGCGAAGAATATATAGCGAAGCTACGGTGGTAACGGTAACGTGAAAATTGGGGTGCGCGACGGGCCTGATGCCGAGATTGGGGGACTGTCGAGGCAAAGGTCTGGAGCGCGGGTTACCAACCGAACGGAATATTGTGGGGTGCTGTTGGCGGGAACAGTGGTGTACGCGCTGAGCAGGGATGCGAAGTAAGGAAAAGGAAATTTCCTTACACTTTATCATTGAACACACTATTAAACAACCAGAGAACCATCTTGTGTCGCGCAGTCCCCGCGCTTTTCTGGCTCATTACTGAGTATCAAGAGTCAGTCGTTGTGCTGTCAGATACTGGTAACCCTGTTTTGTGCTGTCAATATCTCGGTTCTCGCGTTCGCAACGCTGCATATTCGTTCTCCGTCGCTCGTTTACGAGTGTTTGCCTGCGACTGCGATTCCCTGGGTCGCAATGATTTCCATCTGGGAGGATAATAGCGAACATCTGGTAACCAGTTGACAAGCCAAGGCGACTGGTAACCAGCCTCCTCCCACCACACGTGGACTCCCTCCGCTCACTGAAACAAGCTATCTGGATCGGAGCTCTTGAAAACCTGTGACAATCATTTAGCTCCTGCTTCCAGTAACACTGGTGGCGGAAAGTGTGACGCAAGTCGCGGAGCGCCAATCACGATGGGAGGTCCCGCCTTCGATCTCCTCGCCAACCCGCTGGGAGCGGTGCGCGTCCTCTTCGATCGCGAGGTCCACCGGCTCCGCAGCGCCGCACAGAGCGGCGGACAAGGCGGCGGGTATGGCGGAGGCGCGGAGGAGGCGATGAAGCGGCAGCTGGCGCAAGGAGACTGGGGAGTTCGCTCGCTCGTCGACGAGTTCCTGTTCCGCGATGGGAATATCGATAAGGTGGAAAGCTTAGATCAGTTTCGTGCCGTTGCTGCGTTGATTAATTACTGCTTTGCAGACCGTTAGCGCTGACCAACCATTGAGGTGCTCTCTTCACGCCTGACCGTTAGCACCACGCGACAGTTGGCTTTCTTGCTCTGAGCGCTTTCTTGCTCTGAACTACCGCTTGCTTTCTTGCTCTAAACGACCGTTCTGCACCGTACAGAGTCGGTCCCCGCACCTGCAGGGTAAAAAGCAAGGAAGATACGGCTTTTTACCTCTCCATAGGTAACCAGTGGGACGTGAACTAAGTGGGCGCGGATCGCGTGCATTTTGACTCGACTCAAATTCACGTGTATTTGATTCTTTGACCCAAACATAAACCCTGCTCCTTGGTTCTGCTTCCTTCCTTAGGTGCCGGAGATTAACTCAGTGGGTGTGGATCACGTGCCGGTGGGCTCTCTTGTCAGATTTCGAGGCATGGTAAGTTTTCCTGACTCGCATTGACTCGTCTTGACTCCCTTGGTTGAAAGTTTCCAAGTTTTAGTTGACTCGTTCGGACGCCTTTGAACTCGTTCTTTCGTGTAATAATTCACTCTGACATGCATGGTGTCATTCTGACATGGCTTGACGCAATCTGACACGCGTGAATTCATATGAATTCTGCCCGAGTGGGCTTGGTTCAACTTATAGTAGCTGCCATGTGTATAATTCGAATCCCTATGCTTCCACCACTGCTGTACATTCTCTCGTTCCTGCAGGTACAGGACATGTGGGGCACGGAGTTTTATCAGGGCCTCTACAAACGAAGCAGACAGCCCCCATCCGCTTCCCCCTCAGGCTCCTCCGCCTCCCCCTCTCCCCCCTGGCGCACCACCAAGTACACTGATGGGGACTGCGCAGGGGGGATTGGGGGAGATGGGGCGGAGGGGTTGGGGGAGGGGGGCATGGAAGGGGCGGCAGATTTCGGTAGTATCTGGGAGAGGCGGCTGCTGTACTGTGTGCCGGTGAGTCCTCCCAGTGGACAGCTTTTCTTGGCTCCATACTTGAAGCCTCACTCACGCTCGAAATGAATTGAGTCGAGATGACTCAGAAGCCTCACTTCCGCTCGCCACTCGTTCTAATTCTCATATTTTTTGTTCATCATCTATGCCCCTCCTCTCTCTCTCCCACTTCCTCCTTCTCAATTCCTCCCCCCCCCCCCCCCTCCATTTCCCTCCCCCCCCATTTCCTCCCTCCCCATTTCCTCCCTACCCAATTCCTCCTTCCCCTATTCCTTTTTCTCCAATTCCTCCTATCCTCCTCTCGCCCAGGTGCCGGGGGAGCAGCCCTGGGCGCGAGCTCTCAGGGATGGGGGGAGGGAGGGGAGGGGGAACCGGGGGAGAGGGGAAGGGGGAGGCGGAGGGGAGGAGGGCAGTGGGGCGGAGAAGAGGGGCAGAGAGGAAGGGGACGTTGAAGCCATGGTGGGTCTTCGTTTAGACTCCATGGGGCTTCCATGGGGTGCCCCTGGGGTCTCCCGTGGTTCTCACTTACTGTGCCTGTTGATTTAACCCTGTCTTTCTGCTCTCTTCTGATGTGGTCAGTGTGTTAGCCAAACCTTCTTCCCCCAACACGTCCACATTTCCTCACTTGAAGCGGTATTTGAGGTGCCTCAAAAGGTGCCCTCACTCATGCTCCTACCGCTCACGCTCTCGTGCCTGCAGTGCAGCATCGCTTAAGGGCATTGAGCATCCTGTTCTCCCACCGGCCTGCTTAGCACTGCCCCTACCGTCCCAAGCATCGCCTCAAGCACCTCTCGCTTCCCTCCCACATCTTCCTCCTCGACCTTCCTCTCTGTTTCCTCTTCCATCGTGTAGTGCATGGACGTGGACGGCAGGACTACAGCAGGTGCATCGGCGGAAACCAAGAGACAGGTACGGTCCTCCATCGCCCTTGGCACGCACAGGTACAGTGTCAAAATGGAGCATGCGGTAAAGGAACTCTTTCCTTCACCGGTAGGCAGTAAGTAACTGTTGGTCCTTCACTAGATCGTTCATGTGCATACTGTTGTGGATGCCTGCTTGCTTCTCCCCCCTCCCGTCCGCATCACCTCTTTCCGGGTGTCTCGATCTCCCTGTACGTTTGTCTTCCCCTCTCCACCAGGCCACCACTGCAGCTACCAGCACCACAGGCGCGGCCAACCCCAGCACCAGCAGCAACACCACGGCACAGCCCGGCAGCACTGCTGCTGCTGGCGACCGCCCTCCGTTGGTGGATCTGCACTTCCCTCTCGGCCCCTCTGCCTCTGCCTCCCACGGCCGCCCACTGCTGCCCTGCATTGTGAAGGTGAGATGTAGAGCAGCAATCCCCCCACACACCGCCCAGCCCGCCAACTCTGCTGCTGGCGACCCCCCTCCATTCGTGGATCTGCACTTCCCTCTCGGTCCCTCTGCCTCTCCTCTCCTCCTTCCCATGGCCGCCCGCTGCTGCCCTGCATTGCCAAGGTGTGCGTTAGAGCAGCATGCTGACTGCGTGTACGCGCCCCGATCACTCTCTGTGTACCTCACTGCGTGTTTCTGGTGTCACTCGCTTGTGCTTGCTCTCGCTGCACTCACTCCTCTTCGTTTTCTTCCCTCCCTCCCCCCCATGCATGCATGCACTTATCCCCATCACTGTACGACAACGCAGAGGCACAGGTCAAGCTGAACCAGGTGGTGATGGCACCACGGTCACTCGCTCACACGCTGTCTCCCTCTCTTCTCTCCCACTCTCCCCCATTCACACATCAGCTGTACGACAGCGCAGAGGCACAGGTCAAGCTGAATCAGGTGGTGGAGTTCGTGGGGGTGGTGGCACCCCCATCCGCGCCCACTGTGCATACTGCCAACACAGCAGTGGCGCACACAGCAGCACACGACACAGCCACAGCCACAACCGCAGGCGCAGGTGCAGCGACAACCGCAGGCGCAGGCACAGCGATGGAGGTGGAGATGATGGGAGGCGACATGGGCATGGGAGCGTGCCCGTCTGCCTGTCTGCCCAGCAGCCAGGTGCTGCGCCTGCACTGCCTCACCTGGAGGAAGCTTCCTGACCTCTTCCAACTGGCCACAGAGCCAACTGTAGCAGTGAGTATAGGGCGTCTAGGGCTGCCCATCAGTTTGCACTTCCATGATACCGTCCCTCCTCCTCAGTACCACTGCCTCGTCTGGGCCTGCCTTGTTCTCCAATCTTGTGTGCCCCACCCCATTTTCCTTCTCTAATTTCTCCTCGTTCTTACACTTTCCTCCCCACCATACCACTCCCGTGCACATCCCCAGGCAGCAGCGGGCATCAGAGCCGTACTGCTGTCTCCACTGGCTCGCTCTGGCTTTTGAGTTCACTCACAAGTCAAGTCAGTTTGATTTGAACTATCCTCCCCCGACACCCTTCCCCTGCACATCTCCCGTGCAGGCAGCGGCGAGCATCAGGGCGGCACTGCTGTCTCGGCTGGCTGCTGCTCTGGCTTTTGAGTCGACCAAGAAATCAGATGGAACCCCCCCGACCCCCATAACCCCCACATCCCCCATGCAGGCAGCAGCGAGCATCAGGGCGGCGCTGCTGTCTCGGCTGGCTGCTGCTCTGGGCTTTAAGTCGAATGAATCATCAGTTTGAACCAACCCCCTCCCCCGCACATCTCCCGCGCAGGCAGCAGCGAGCATCAGGGCGGCGCTGCTGTCCCGACTGGCGGCTGCTCTGGACGGCGACAGGCTGGCAGCAGAGTATTTTCTGCTGCAACTGCTGTCGCGGGTATGTATGCAGTGAGGTGAGAAAGCATGTGTGTGTGCGTTTGACATGGTATGATATAGCGTCTGGTACACACTTGTGGCACGCTGGCAGCAGAGTACCTGCTGCTGCACCTGCTGTCACGGGTATGTACGGTATGCGGTGACTTAGCATAGGGGCAGTGGCGTTGCAATTAGATACAGTCCACACACACACCAATTACAGGCTGGTTGTCGAGTAGCTACTGCGGCACACTCACCTGCCAGCACCTGCTGGCACCTGCTGGCACCTGCTGGTATTTTTGTGCAAGGCATTCAGCAGCGCACGCATCACACACAGAGAGTATGGGCTGGCATGTAAGCTGCGTGGTAAGCAACAGGGGCAGGCTGCAGTCCAGTCCCTTTGGCTGCGCTTGCTGTTTCGGGATGTGGCAACAGACGACGTTTGGCATGCTTTGAGCTGTTTCTCTCCTCACCTCCCATGCATGTGTGTATGTGTGCATCTGTGCGTGTATGCATATGTCCATCCATGCAGGTACACACGCGCATAGAGCCCATGCCTCTGGGAAAACTCTCCCTCAACCTCTCCGGCTTCCCAGAACCTTCCTCTGCCCCCAATCCTTCTCACCCCCCTCCTCCTCTCTCCTCTTCCCCTCCCTCACTCTCCCAAGCCGCCTCGCCCTCCCTCTCCGCCCTCACCTCCTCTCTCCAAACCCTCCTCCCAGCCACCCACACTCTCCCACTCTCCCTTGACACTCTTAACTCGCGTCGCCTCACACCCCACAAAGACTATACCTCTGACAGGCTAGTCTCTGGTGTATTACAGTTACCAGCAGGGACGCACCTGACTATTGACGAGACTTCTTTAAAACCGGGAAGGGTGACGGCGCTAGGGAGTCAGAACCTGCAGGCTCTTAAAGAGCTAATGGAGTGGCAAAAAGTGGACTACGATTTTCAGTACTATAAGATGGACATGCAGAGTGATATACCTGTGCTGATTCTGTCGCACGCCACGTCACGCCTACTGCCTGCTGACGTCAGCTTGCCGGTTCGGTGCACGGCGCCACCTCAGCCTGTCCGTGAGGACGAGCCGGAGGTTGCCATGTGGCGGCGGTACATTGGCTGCTGCCGGCTGCTGGAGCATGAGATTAAGGAAGACATGCGGGAGGTGCGTACTTGAGTCTGTCCTGGAAGGATTGTTTATGCGTGTGGTTTATGCTGAGTGCTTTGCACGTGATAAGTGAGGATATGTGCTGTATGCACGTGCATGTGAGTGTACATGGGCATGCCACCAACTGTAGGCATCACAGCCCCTTCCAGCCTCAGCAACCCAGCATCACCACCTCTCATCCCACCCTCCCCACATCCCACATCCTACCCTCTCCAAATCACACCCTCGCCAAATCCCACCCTCGCCAAATCCCACCCTCGCCAAATCCCACCCTCGCCAAATTCCACCTGTGCGGGCAGCAAGTGGAGCGGGAGCTAGTGGCAGCGCGGCAGCAGGACCCCTCTCTCGACTCCGATACTTTTCACAGGTACACGCTGCTTGCTTCTGGGTGATGCCTGTTGCTGAGTGGTGTTGGCGGTGCATGCGAATCATTAATGTCTCTATGACTGATTTGTGGTCGTCTCTGGGTGGGCAATGGGCATGCAGGTGGCTCACATTGGCTCGCCTGGCAGCAGCAAGCTTCGGAGAGAGGGAGCTTTCGAGGGAGAGGTGGCAGGCAGTGAGGGACTTGGAGCGCACTAGAGAGGCTCGTAACCGCGTGGTGTAGGTGTAAGCATGAAAACTATACAGTATATGATCAATGCTAAATGCTTGTTGCTGATTGAAGCAGTTGTGTAAGTTTTCCACTGTAATGCTGAGTAACTGCAGCAAATAATCCAATGCCCAAGCTTTCTCCGCCGTGCATGCCTTTCACCCATCCTCAAATGTACATAGTTCTACAATCTCTATTGAAATCACATAACCAGCTCTTGTATCTGCATTCCTCAACCTGAAGTCAAAACAGCAACCATTTCACTCTTGTGGCGAGAACCGGAGCCGCCTGTGCCGCACTGGTCAAGCCAACCTCGTTCGTGAGTTGTAGCGAAACTCTCTGCTCTTGGTGTTCCCTCAGTTCTTGCATAGAGATTCCTCTTCCGTTGATTCCTCCTCTCTCGATTCCTCCTCCCTCGATTCCCCCTCTCTCGATCGACTCGAAATCTTCCCTTGATTCTTCAACTAGACTGTACAGTAGTATTTCTTTCATTTCTTTTCCAAGCATCACGTGAGGTGGTTGGTTATTCCAGAAACAACGCCAACCACGAGGCCACTAGGAAAAGCGAATCCATTGCAGATAATCGCGGTAAGGCGCCTGAAGCTCGGTCCTATGATGCCATGCCTGCCACCTGTCAGGGCCACCAGCGTGGCATGTGACCATATCCACCTCCTCGCACCCCCTCAGTAGTCGATCCACGAAAGTCTTGCCTCGCCGGACTCCATCGGACTGCCATGGGAACTCGTAGATTGCGAGCAGTCGTAGCCGAGACGGCTGCTTCACGATTTCGTCACTCTCTCCGTTCCAAGAATCGTATCGTAGGGTCTAGGCCCGACTGCCAGTCGCCTATGTGCTTGCGACCTCCGTAGGGAAACTCTCGTGGAACATATGAATGGAGTCGATTGGAACAACGAGCGAGTGGTATCGCCGCTTTGAGTTTTCAGGCCTCTTCTTTCCCTACTGCGCGACTCTCCACTGGGTATACCCAGACGCTTTTATTGAGAATCATTTTTTGGAAAGATTTCCTGGTCTCGCGCAGGAATCGCCATGGACCCGCCTTTTTTCGCCCGTTCCTACACCGCCCGTAACACCGCCAGCGGAGGCGGCGGCGGCGGTAGCGGTGTGAAGAAACGCGGATCCACTCTCCTATTCCCCGAAAGCCCGGCGGGTCGCACGAGAGCCTGGAAATACGGCTCGTTCGACAGCAGCACCCCCGCGAGTGTCGCTCTCAGTTCGCCAGTCGAATCAGTGACGACTTGGAAGCGTTATCAAGGCTCCCCCAGCTTCTTAGCTCCGCTCTTCAGCCGGCTCAAACCGGCCGTCCGATGCGTTCTATCCAACGGTCCGCAGTCGCTGCAGCCGCTCGAATCGGCCGGGCAGTACGAGCCAGCGCCCGCGCCGAGATACGTACAATGGCCGCCTTGCGACGCGTCGCACGCGTCGCCACGCGCCCGCCACGAGTACTTCCTCCGACAGCTGGCGTCTCCAGTTGCAGTTTCGAGCCCTCGTCACCCCGCGGCCCCCGCCGCAAATCTCGCTACCAATCCAACCACAAGAAGTGGTCGCACTGACGCTAAAGAGACTTCCAAAGCTAGAGCGAATCCCGGCGAGCCGCTGACAGATTTGACGCTCGCCGGGTCGCGGCTTCCTCGCGGCGCCATGACGCGACCCGCGACGACGATCGCGCAGCTGATGCTCATCCGCGCGTGCCACAGCGATGCGCTCCGCCGCCACAGCCTCGGCACCGCGCTCGGCTTGCGCACGCGGCGCGGAAGGCTGACGGGCGTCCCCGCTATAGTGGTCTTCGTTCCAAGAAAGGTGCACGAGGCGTGGCTGCTGCCGGCGCAGAAGCTTCCGAGGAAGCTGCAGGGGCCGGGTGGGTACGAGTGTGACGTGGACGTGGTAGAGTTGACCAATCAGAGCAGTGGCAGTAGCAGCAGCTCAGGCTGTGCAGGCCACGTGGCGGGCCACGTGGCGGGTGACGTGGCAGGCGCGGTGGGAGTGGCGGCAGAGGTAGCTATTATTGATAACCCGCTGGTGGAGCAGCTGAGGGGGAGTGGCAGCAAGTTCGGGCCGGGGTCGCAGATTGCAAGCGAGGAGGTGTATGGAACGCTGGGAGCGATTGTAAAAAAAACCAGCAGGAGCAACAGCAGCAGCGGCGGCAGCGGTAGCGGCGGCAGCAACAGTCGTGGCGGGATGACTGGTGGGACAAGCAGTGCTGGTGGGATGAGCGGCAGTCATGGTGGGAGCAGTGGTTGTCTGGGGGTGGGGTTTCTGGCGACTCGCCACGTGGCAGTTGATTTGGATCAGCCGAAGCAGAAGTTGTTTCACCCCCTGCCCACGTCGCTTGGTCCTGGGAGGTTCTTAGGCTCGGTGGAACGAGCCTTGCCGTTTGCCTCGGACCACGCGTGGTTCGGCGTGTTCGCCAACATGAACCCAGGTGCGGATAATTCTCGTTATTAGGTGATTCCGTAAGAGTTGTCACACTAAGACATTGTTCTACACTACACGTTTTATTCCTTCCCTTCTCACTTCTCCAATCCTTTCCCAGCCTCCCCACTCAACGTGCTCCCCTCATGTCCCAATGCATGTTCCACACGTCCCCTCGTCCCCGTTACAAGCAGACTCGTTTGTGCGCACGGACGGCGCATACATTCCCTTCCACGAGGAGTTTGACTTATCAGTCGTGACGACGCAAGTGGCGGGAATCGGCCCTATCGGTCCCCCCCGCCACATCAGCCTATCAGACGACATCCGTAGTGTGGTGGGGCAGCATGTGTGGAAGGTGCGTGGAAGGTGCGTGGAAGGTGCATGGAAGGTGGGTAGGAAGGTGCCTAGTTAAGAGGTATGCAAGGGTGATGGCAGGGGCAAGACGCTCTACACCACCCACGTTCTCCCTCCTCTCTCTCCTATCCCCTCCTCCCTCTCCTTTCCCTCCTCGCCTCTCTCCTCTCTCCTTCCTCCCGTCTCCTCTCCTCTCTTATCCTCTTCTTTCTCTCCTCTCTTATCCTCTTCTTTCCCTCCTCTCTTTTCCTCTTCTTTCTCTCCTCTCCTCTCCTCTCTTCTCCTCTTCTCACCCTTCTCTCTCCTCTCATGCGGCCAGCGTCTCAGGCGCAGTGCATCATGATGATGATAGCCGCCCTCTTTTCCCACTCCTCTGCCTCCTTTCTCCTCTTTCCTCCTATCAGGTGGGCAGCGCCTCAGGGCTGACTCACGGCACCATAGCAGCATATGCAGTGGAGCACAGCGAGGGGGACGGCATGTCTCTCTTCACGGACCTCCTCATCGTGAGTCAACACGGCCAGGCGTTTGACTGTGAAGGGGACTCGGGCGCGCTCGTGCTCGTGCTGCCCACAGTTGCCCTTTCACCAGCCGTGCTTGCCTCTCTAGCGCTGTCTTCTCCTCCCCTTTTTGTTCCGCCTCCTCCCCCTGCTGCTCCGCCTCCTCCCCCTGCTGCTCCGCCTCCTCCCCCTGCTGCTCCGCCTCCTCCCCCTTCTTCTCCTCCTGCCGCGCCCAGACCCTCTGCTAGTCCCCCTATACCCACTGCACAAGCAGCAGCACCGTCATCAGTAGCAGGAGCAGCAACAGCAGCAGTAGCAGCAACAGCAGCGGCCGCAGTAACAGTAGCAGCACCATCAACATTACCAGCAGCAGCAGCAGCAGCAGCAGCACCACCACTACTACTACCAACAGTACCACTACCAACAGTACCACTACCAACAGTACCATCAGCAGCAGCAGCAGCAGCAGCAGCGTTTCTAGTGCCAGTGGCAATGGTGTTGGGCGGAGGTGGTAGCAGAGGGGGGATGAAGCTGGGGAGTGGCAGGGGGGCGCAGCAGTGCAGCAGTGCAGTTGACCTTGGCCGCCTGCTCTCCTTGCTTGATTTGGACATGGTTACCAGTGACGGCGAATTGGCAGGTGAGATGGTTACCAGTGACGGCGAATTGGCAGGTGAGATGGTTACCAGTGACGGAGAATTGGCAGGTGAGATGGTTACCAGTGACGGCGAATTGGCAGGTGAGATGGTTACCAGTGACGGCGAATTGGCAGGTGAGATGGTTACCAGTGACGGCGAATTGGCAGGTGAGATGGTTACCAGTGACGGCGAATCGGCAGGTGAGATGGTTACCAGTGACGGCGAATTGGCAGGTGAGATGTTACCAGTGACGGCGAATTGGCAGGTGAGATGGTTACCAGTGACGGCGAATTGGCAGGTGAGATGGTTACCAGTGACGGCGAATTGGCAGGTGAGATGGTTACCAGTGACGGCGAATTGGCAGGTGAGATGGTTACCACTGACGGCGAACTGAGAGGTGAGATGGTTATCGTTTATGGCGTGGTAGATGTGAGGTGGTTAGTGTTTTTCACTGGTGCTCAAGTGTGGGTTGAGATGTTTACATGATTTTTTAGGCACCTCAGAAAAAAAAAAATGCAGGTAGAGAGACGACTTTTGAGGCGCCTCAAAAGTAGTGTGGGTTGAGGTGTTCACGTGATTTTGCCACAAGTTCATCTTGTTCCACCATAATGTCCGAGTGTTTCATTCTCTTCCATTTGCTCATGTTTGACCTTCATATCGTTTCAATCTACCTCATCTCCACTCCCTTCGCTTGCAGAGTTGGCTGAAAGGCAGAGACTTCTCAACACACCTGGTCACGATCCTCCCACTCCCGGGGATGGTGCTGGTGGTGCTGCTGATGACGCTGGAAGTGGGGAGAGAGGGAGGGGGGAGGAGATTGAGGAAGCAGGGAAGGAAGAGGAAGAGGAAGGGAAGGAGGTAGAGGAAGAGAGCGTGGGAAAGAGGCAACGAGTGGAAGGGTGAGGGGTATTGGAAGGCTGGAAAGCAAGAGAGGAGAAAGTGGTAACATGGGCGAGATGAGGAAAGTGGTAAGATGGGTGAGATGAGGGTGAATGAGAGGAGGGAAGGGGGGCGGAGCAAGTGAGAAGAAGGGCGAGGGTGAGACATGGCAAGAGTGGGAGTGGGAGCGGGCAGGGGATGACGATTGGAGGCACGAGCATGTGCAGACTCACTGCTGTGGTTGCACGTGGCCATCTCACTGCAGTCTCACTGCTGTGGTTGCACGTGGCCATCTCACTGCAGTCTCACTGCTGTGGTTGCACGTGGCCATCTCACTGCAGTCTCACTGCTGTGGTTGCACGTGGCCATCTCACTGCAGTCTCACTGCTGTGGTTGCACGTGGCCATCTCACTGCAGTCTCACTGCTGTGGTTGCACGTGGCCATCTCACTGCAGTCTCACTGCTGTGGTTGCACGTGGCCATCTCACTGCAGTCTCACTGCTGTGGTTGCACGTGGCCATCTGACTGCAGACTCACTGCTGTGGTTGCACGCAGAGTTGAAGACACCCGCCGATGCTTCTCCTCACATCCTTTTCATGTCCTGCCTTGGTGAGTGGTGCTGAGAGTGGGTGAGCGGTGCTGAGTGGTGTTGAGTGGTGCTCGAATGTGCCGTTCCGCCTGCTGACAAGTCGGTCTGCTTCTTTTTTCTGTGGAAGGGGGAATAGGCCCTCCCTCTTATCAGCATCAGCTATCCTTGCGTGTCCTTTTGCCTGATTTTCCCCACTCACCTCTGTTTACCCTCCTTGCCGCACTTCCCCTGCTACACACTCTTGTCTACCCTCTTGTCATATTCTCACACATTCTCACACATTCTCAGGCATTCTCAGGCATATTCCCAGAAAGAAGGCCTGGGTGCGCCACAGCCAGAGTGTGAAACAGCAGGTTGTCTTCCCCGTTACCCCACTGCCGGTGATGGCTGCACCACACTGTGTGGACACTGCACAGCCTTATGGAACTGCTGTGCCAACAACGTTGCAACTCGAATGTATAAATTTGACGAAGTGATTGGTCAATCCTACTCTAAACAAGAGGCTAAGACATCTCATCTCACACATCGAATACCCCTCCCTACCCCATGACACATTTCTAAATGCAGCTCCCCATGACACAATTCTGAAAGAGGCTGCCGTCTACCTGGCAGACTAGAATCTTCACACTACACCATAACGCCACATTTGTACTCGGCAAGATTGTTCCATGCATGTTAACATAGGTCCCAGAATCAGACATGGGTAACACCTGCCTTCCAACTTGGTTACCCTGTATCCAGCAAACTACCTAACCAGCTGCAGCTTCCATCTCTTATATACGCACGTAACAATCCTGCTAGTATCGGGTACAAGTCACAACTCCCCTGTGCCGAGGGGCTTTCGCGAGGTGTCACCTGAAGCCCATGCCTCATAGTCCTTTTTCAGCTGAAGGGAGGGAGGCGGATGGGATGGGGAGAGCGGGAGCAGCAGCAGAGGGAATTTATGGACACAGCCCAGGAAGAGCCTGCCGCCTGCAGCCCAGGTTCTTAGTCCTTGAGCTGTGGGGAGGGGGCAGACAGATGGAGTGCAAGAGAGACAAGACGGGTGGGGAAGGGCAAGGAGAGTCAAGCAGAGGGGATAGAGACAAGCAGAGGGGATAGAGACAAGCAGAGGGGATAGAGACAGAGCGGAGGGATAGGGAGAGGAACCGAAGATGAGGGTCAGAAGCAGCTACAGTAGCTGGAGAAGCAGAGCAAGCGGATAGGGAGGGAAGAGCAGGAGCGGAAGCAGAGGGGCTTCTGAGAGGTGCCTTCTCCAGGCCCCTCCGCTTCTGCTCCTGCCAGGCTTTGTAATCCTTCTTCCAGTGTGGGGAGAGAGAGAGAGGGGGCAGACAGTTAGGGTGCAGAGAGAAGGGATAAGAGGGAAAGGGCGAGGAGACACAGAGCGAGAAACCAGCACATCAGAGACCACAGTGCTCACCTGCTCTAGGAAGCGCGGCACAGCCACTTTTAGAACCTGCTCCAACAGCTTGTTGCCTGCACTCTCAATGACCTCCCTTGGGATCATCCGGAATGGCACTGGGACCTCCACTGAGCTCTGTGGGGGGCGAGATAGGGGGAGATGGATAGTTTGAAAGGCGCACTGGCGTACTAATGGGGCAGCTTGCTGCCAGCACTGTCTGTGACGCCCCTTGGGATCATCCGGAATGGCACTGGAACCTGCACTGAGCTCTGTGGAAGGGGCGATGGGGGGGGTTGGGAGGCGATGAGGGGAGACGAAGGGAGATGGGGGGAGACGAGGGGAGATGGGGGGAGATGAGGGGAGATGGGGGGTTTTGAGACGTGTCAACACTTGCTATGACGTCCCTTGGGATCACCCGGAACGCCATAGGGACCTCCACGGAGCTCTGTGGGGGGCCACGATGGGGGGAAGACAGGTGATTGCAGAGGTGTGTTGGTGACTTTCGCGTCCATGGCATGATGTGCTCATCTTGAGAATGGTATCTGACATGATGAGTCGCGAGGGCGAGGAGGGCGAGGAGGGGGAGATGGCATGGCACTATGGCATGATGGCATGGCACTATGGCATGACGCACGCACTCACCTTGAGAATGGTATCTGACATGATGAGTCGCGAGGAGGGAGAGGAGGGGTCAGGCGCCCACCGCACCCGGTTCGCCATGGACGCTGGAAGGGGGAAGGCGGGGGGGAGGGTGGGGGAGGAAGAGGTGGGGAGGGGTGCTAATGAGCACCCGGTTTGCCATGGACGCTGGAAAGGGGGGGAGCCGGGGGTAAGGGTGGGGAAGGAAGGGGGAGCCGGGGGTAAGGGTGGGGAAGGAAGGGGGAGTCGGGTGCTGATGAACACCCGGTTCACCATGGACGCTTGAGGGGGAGGGAAGGGGGAGGGGGAGGGGAGGGGAGGGAGGGGGAGGGGAGGGGAGGGGGAGGGGAGGGGAGGGGAGGGGAGGGGAGGGGAGGGGAGGGAGGGGGAGGGGGAGGGGGAGGGGGATGCTGATAAACATCCGGTTCACCATGGGCGCTTGGGGGCGGGGGGAAGGAGAGGGGGAGGGGGAGGGGGAGGGGGAGGGGGATGAGCACCCAGTTCAGCATGCACGCTTGGGGGTGGGGGGGCAGGGAATGGGGAAAGACATGCACGCTGGAAAGGAGAATGCTGGTATTGGTGCTTAGTAAAAAGGACTATGCTTAACAAAGTGCAGCAACTAGCATAAAAAGGTGGCACTTACCTCGGAACTTTTTGTTCTGTGACTTCACTATGGGTGACCCGTCCAGCTGGTGTGGGGTGGGGGGTGAAGAGGGGGCGGGTGGAGAGGCACGTGGGGCGAGGGAGGGAGAGGGGAGGGGTAGGCGGGGTGAGGGGCGGCAATAAGCAACGGGCGGGCGGTGCTGACATCGAAACTTCTTGTTCTGTGCCTTCACTATGGGCGACCCGTCCAGCTGGTGTCGTGGTGAGGCACAGGGGAAATCGGGGAAAGGGGAGGGGAAGGGAAGGGTGAAGGGGGTGTGGTGCTCACATAGGAACTTCTTGGTCTGCGCCTTCACTACTGGCGACCCGTTCAGCTTGTGTGGTGGGCGGGGGGGTGGGCGGTGAGGGGCGGCCATTAGCAACGGGCGCCTTTACTATGGGCGACCAGTCCAGGTGGCGAGGGGCGCGGAGAGGCACAAGGGGGGGAATGGGGGGAAGGGAAAGTGGGGAGGAAGAGAGATGAATTGGGGAGGAGGAGGTTGGGAGCGAAAGAGGTGAGGTGGGCAGCAGGAAGGGAGTGAAGAGGGGAGGATATAGACAGAGTGGTGGCAGAGAGGAAGGGAGGGGGGAGAAGAGGGCAGAGGGTGCCTTCCCATCGCCTTCCCATCGCCCTCCCCTCGCTTCCATCTTGCCTTCCCTTTGCCTCACTGGAGCCTAGCTAACCGTGGCGGAAGGCATTTTTATTGTGCAGTGCAGCCCGCCTCCTCCTGTGCTCCCCAAACACGCATTCCCCTTTCTGCGCTGCCTCTCTCCCTCCTCCGCTCCCCCGCTTCCTGCGTTTCTCTCCCCCCTGCGTTTTCCTCCCCCTGCGCTCCCCCGCCCCCTTCACTTCCCCTCCCCCATGCGTTTCCCCTCCCCTCTTCGTGTCCCCTCCCCCCTGCACTGTTTGTCTCCGCTGCCCGCGCTTACATCGGCTGAAAGCAGTCTTATGTGAATGCAGCCGTCCGCCTCCTCTGTGCTCCCCTACCCGCGTTCCACTTCCTTCTGCGCTACCTTCCTCCCCTGCACTCCCCATCCTCCTGCAATCCCCATCCCTCTGCGCCCCCCCTCAACCTGCGCTCCTCCCCCCCACCCCCCCCCCACGCGTACAGTGGCGGAGAGCAGTCTTATGGTGCACCCGTCCGCCTCCTCGTCGACGCGCACGAGCAGCACGGGGCACAACTCCACGCTGAAGAACCGTGCGCGGTGCGCCCCACCCTGTGCTTTCCCGGTGCCTCCCCTGTACTTTCCCTGTACTTCCCCTGTGCTTTCCCTGTACTTCCCCTGTACTTTCCCTGTACTTCCCCTGTGCTTTCCCTGTGCTTTCAATCCTGTGCGTACAGTGGCGGAGAGCAGTCTTATGGTGCAGCCGTCCGCCTCCTCGTCGACGCGCACGAGCAGCACGGGGCAGACCTCCACGCTGAAGAACTACAAGCGGTGCTCCCCACCCTGTGATTACCCTGCGCTTCCCCTGTGCTTTCCCTGCGCTTTCCCTGCGCTTCCCCCCACGCTTACAGTGGCGGAGAGCAGGCGTATCGTGCACCCATCCGCCTCCTCGTCGACGCGCACGAGCAGCACGGGGCAGACCTCTACGCTGAAGAACTGCGCGCGGTGCGCGTAGCAGCGGAACGTGCTGCCATCCACGCGCTCGATGCGCTCCGCGTCCAGCACCGAATACTGCGACGCGGGGAGGGTCATGTACTCCGCTGGGGGGGGAGGGGGAAGAGGGGGAAGAGGGGGAGGTGGGGAAGAGGGGGAAGAGGGTACATGACATGCGCTCAATGCGCTCCGCGTCCAGCACCGAGTACTGCGACGCGGGCAGCGTCATGTACTCCGCTGCGCGCATGGGCGGAGTGGAGAGGGGGAGAGTGCGGGCAAGCGGGGGAGGGAGGGGAGACAAGGAGAGGGGGGGTGGAAGGGGGGTTCGATGGGGGGAAGAAGGAAAACGCCATGTACTCCGCGCCAAGGCCGCGGCTTGCGGTAGAGGACCCCGCGAAGGGGCGGCGGAAAGGCGAGGGGGAGCCGGGCCGGATATAGACGCGAAATCATTCGCGCATCGCTCTACCCGATGTGAACCTCGAGCTCTCTGCTTCACACCATCGCTCATTCCCTCGGTCACGCTCCCCTTCAGAAAATCCACAATCGCACCGCGAGGCTTGCAGTCATCAGACGTCTTTAAACTCAGCCTTTCGCTCCTAGAGGGCTTCAATTGATCGCACCTAGAGGCTTCTCTTTCTCGTCCAGCTGGACTTGCTGAGTCCACGTGGCACTCATGTGCGCCCAATTCGCGTCTGAAAGCGCCTCCACCGCCTCTAACTCCCGCTCCTCCTCCGCCAGGGATGCCACCGCCACGCGCCGCCCCGCACTGCGCCTGAACGCCGCGCGCCGGGTCTCGATCCGCAGTGCAGCGCCGGAGTTGCCCGCGAGAGGTAGCCGTCTTGCGGTTGCTGCTCTGCTGGACAGGCGCGCGCCGGGACGAGAATGATCGGCGATTGGAGATTGGTGCGCTGCCCGCGCGGTCTGAGCGGAGGCTGCGACGGAACCCTGCGCCAGCGCGGCGGCTCCCGCCATGACGGCAGCGGAAGGAAGGGGAAGGCAGAGGGCGGACAGGTTGCGGGGGGACGCGGTGGCGCGGATTGTTGCAGCGGAAAAAGGATGCCTGAGAGTCCGGTAGATTTTATGAAGCTGCCACGCAACAGCAGCCACCTGAGACAAACGAAGGAAGAACTAGCGGCAATATCCTAGAGCTTAGGCGAAAGCTACCCTGGAGCTACTTGTTATAAGTGAGGAGACTAACAACTGGTGGCAATCTGGATTCTCAGGTCCTTTCGACCTCGGAAAGTGCCTACTGCGTGGATTCCCCGAGTCATGCTGAGCGAGTCAAGAGGGCCGCGCGATTGGGGAAAGTGCTAAATTCTTTGTTACGCGGCATGTGCTGATTGGATGGAACAATCGAGCAAATCATGGTGGGAAGGGGAAGAATCAAGGCAAGGCAGGGCTGATGAGCCGAACCTGAGCGAAAAAGGAAGTTCTTCACTGGTTGGGTGCGAATAATTTGGGCCAAACAACATTTGCAAGCAGGGTAACCGCTTCGCCAATTGGTTCGGTTTAAGATTGCGCATACATCAAAGCGAGATAAGTGCTTTTAGGTGGCATTTCCTTCAATGGCGAGTATATTTTATAACGAGTACATCTGATTCACACCCTCTCGTTCACCTTTCAGCCTGCATCACCGTCTGCTGCGCTGGGACGGGTTTCGCCATGGCCGCACGAATAGCTGCACGGCTGCTAAGAGGTTCCGTCAACCGTGCATCCTCGTCCTCGCATCTTCCGATCTCCGCGTCCTCTTCCTCTTCCCGCACGTCTCTTATTCAAACTGCCCCGTCATCTCCGCACACCCGTGCGTTTTCCCGCACCGCCAACCAGCAGTCGCCAAATCCCCGAGCGTCGCCTGCAGCTTCGCACTGGGTACACCCGTCACCGTTCGTCACCAGCACCCGACAGATCGTGCGATGTTTTGCGAGTCGCAGTGCGACGTCGCCAGCAACTACGCGAGTCTGCGACAACTCGATCGGCTTCGTAAGCACGTCGCAACAACGATGGTTCTCGTCGGATTCAGGCAAAGGATCTGACGTGGCATTCACAGCAGCGACCAGCGGCCATGTAGCCGAGGGTGTTTCCGCAGGCTCGGAAGGTGCAGTCGGTTCGGCAAGCGCAGCCTCAGCAGCGAAAGACTCGGATGCGGATGCAGCAGCGGGGGGGGCAACCGGCGCGGGGGAGAAAGCGGGGGGCCAAGCGGAGGCGGAAGCGGGGGAGGCGGAGTGGGGGACGTACCGCGATAGGCGCGTGGCGGTGCGGAGCTTCAGTGGGGAGGCACGCGGAGAGGCGGTGCTGGACGGGACTATATTCGACGTGCCTGTACGGAGAGACATCGTGCACCGCGTGGTGTGCTGGCAGCTCGCGAAGCGCCGCCAAGTAAGAGGGAGAGGCGCGCGAAGGATTAGGGTGTGGGAGGAGTGTGGAGGGTTGGGAGACGGTGGAGAGGAGCGCGGATGTTGGGAAGGGAGAAGGCGGTGAGAGAAGACGAGGGTAGGGGAAGAGGGTTCGAACTTGTAAGGGGGCGGAAGGGGCGGAGAATGGCTTGGTCATGTGAGGTTTAGAGCGATTGGGAGATGGCGCTGCAGCACACCCAGCTCGGATTAGCAAGTTTCCTGGACTGAGCGTAACCATTCGTCCAGCAAGCCTTATACCTTCTCTCTCTTCCTCCGCTTCCACCCTCCCTTCTCCCTCCACTCCCCTCCCCTCACCCTGTTCACCGCCCACCCTCGTAGGGCACGCACAGCACGAAGCGCGTGGGCGAGGTGCGAGGGTCGTCCAGCTAGCCTCCTCGCCTCGTCCCCCCACATTTCCCTCCCCACTTCCCATTCCAGTCCTCTTCCCCCTCCCCCAACCCTTCTGAGCGAGCGAGGTGCGAGGGTCGTCCAGCTAGCCTCACACCCTCCCACTTCCCTCCTGCTTCTCCCCCCCACCCCCCACGCCCCACTCCCCTCCCCCCCCAGGGCACGCACAGCACGAGGCGCGTGGGCGAGGTGCGAGGGACGTCCAGCAAGCCTCATTGTCTCGTTCTCACCCTCTCTCTCACACCCCACATTTCCCCCCCACTCCCCCCACCCCCTCGGGGCACGCACAGCACGAAGCGAGTGGGCGAGGTGGGGGGTCGTTCAGCAAGCTTCATCGTCTCGTCCCCCGTCCTCATTCCCCTTCACTTCCCCTCTCACTCACCCCCCACTCCCCCTGGCTCCTCCCCCACGTGCAGGGCACGCACAGCACGCCACGTGTGGGCGAGATGCGAGGGACGTCCAGCAAGCCTCGTTGCCTGCACTTCCCCCCCACTCCTCCCCCCACTCCCCTCCCTCTCACACCCCACTCCCCCGCCCTTCCCCCACCCCCGCAGGGCACGCACAGCACGAAGCGGGCGTGGGAGGTGCGAGGGACGTCCAGCAAGCCTCATCGCCTCGTCCTCACCCTCTCACTCCCCACATTCCCCCTCCACTCCTCTCCCCACACCCCCACCCCCTCAGGCCACGCACAGCACGAAGCGGGCGTGAGAGCTGCGAGGGTCGTCCAGCAAGCCTCGTTGTCTTGTCCTCCCCCCCCTACTCACTCTCCACTCACCCCCAAATGCCCCCCATCCCCCTCCCCCAACCCCGCAGGGCATGCACAGCACGAAGCGCGCATGTGAGCTGCGAGGGACGTCCAGCAAGCCTCATCGCCTGTCCGTTTCTCCCCAACCCCCACTCCCCCACCCCCGCAGGGCACGCACAGCACGAAGCGCGCATGTGAGCTGCGAGGGACGTCCAGCAAGCCGTGGAAGCAGAAGGGCACGGGGCGGGCCAGGCATGGGTCACGGCGAGGGCCACAGGTGAGGGGTACTGCCCGGTACTGAACGGTGCTGAGTGGTTTGCCCAATGCCTCAAAGAAGCAGAAGGGCACGGGGCGGGCGAGGCATGGGTGGCGCAGAGGGCCGCAGGTGAGAGGTGTGCGCTTGCTGCCCTGTGCTGACCGGTGCTGACCGGTGCTGACCGGTACTGAAAGGTACTGACTGGTACTACCCAAGGGCCTCAAGAAGCAGAAGGGCACGAGGCGTGCCAGACAGGGGTCGCGGCCAGAGCTGCAGGTGAGGGGCTGCAGGTGAGGGGTTGCAGGTGAGGAGCTGGTTTGCATGCCTTTACTACCCGTTGATTACCATAGGTGACCCGTGAGGCGACTTAAGAAGCAGAAGGGCACGGGGCGCGCCCGACACGGGTCGCGCCGAGGGCTGCAGGTGAGGGGTGTGCTGGATTGCTGCCCGGTACTGGACGGTACTGAACGGTACTGACTGGTACTGCCCAAGGCCTAAAAGAAACAGAAGGGCTCGGGGCGAGCCAGGCACGGGTCACGCCGAGGGCCGCAGGTGAGAGCAAGCCTGGCTTGCTGCCCGGTGCTGACTGGTACTGGCCGGTACGACTGTCACTGACTTGTACAGCAGAAGAGCACGGAGCGGGCGAGACACGGGTCACGCCGAGGGCCGCAGGTGAGGGGTGAGGGGACTGGTGCAGGTGAGCGGTGAGGGGACTGGTGCAGGTGAGGGGTGAGGGGACTGGTGCAGGTGAGCGGTGAGGGGACTGGTGCAGGAGTGGTTGACTTGCGTGCTACCATTACTGCCGGTTATTTACCCAGGCAGTGCCACCATGTACAACCCCTACCCACCGTGGCAATACCAACCGTCACATTTGTCACACTGCGTTTCCCTCTCCTTTCTTGCCATGCCAATGCACCTACTCACCCCACCACGACCCCTCTCCCCCCACCACCACCCCCCCGCCACCCCCCCTCCCCCCGCGACCACTCCTCCCCCCACCAGTTCCGGGGCGGAGCCGCCATGCACGGCCCCAAGCCGCGGTCGCACGCCTTCTCGCTCAACAAGAAGGTCCGCGCGCTCGGGCTCAAGGCAGCGCTGTCCGCACGGCTGAGAGAAGGACAGGTGAGAGTGCTGTGTGCTGTGCTATGCTGTGCTGTGTGCTGGCCTATGGAGCCGTGTCCACCTCCTGTCTTCTAAGCTGCACGTTCAACAAGAAGGTCCTTGCGCTGGGGCTCAATGCAGCGCTGTCAGCACGGCTGAGGGAGGGACAGGTGAGAGTGCAGTGTGCTGTGCTGGCCTGTGTTCCAAGCTGCACTCTCATCAAGAATGTTTGCGTTCTCCGGCTTAAGGCAGGCTGTTGGCACGGCTGAGGGAGGGGCAGGTGAGAGCGCTGTGTGCCTGGTGCTCCATTGATTGATCCTCAAACTAACCTCGGTTGTCCCTCTCTGTGTCACAGTTTTCCCGTAATTTTTAGTCGCTCTCCCTCTCACTCTTCTTCTCACTCTCGCTCTCGCGCTCCCCTCTCAATCTCCCTCTCAATCTCCCTCTCAATCTCCCTCTCAATCTCCCTCTCAATCTCCCTCTCAATCTCCCTCTCACTCGCCCTATCCCTCGCCCTATCCCTCGCCCTATCCCTCCCTTCCCCCACCCAGCTGGTCCTGTACTCCGATTTGGATCCGGGCAGCCCGAAAACGAAAGACATGGCACAGCACATTGCCACGGCGTTCCCTGAGTCAAAGAAGATCCTTTTCGTCGACGGGTCGCAACGGGCAGATGAAACTTTGCTCCGGGCATCTGGGAATCTGCACTACGTGAATGTGCTGCCAGTTGTGGTGAGTTGCTCTTCCCTCCTATTCTCTCTTCTTACATGCAACCGGACTGCATTGCACTGCACCGCACTCCACTGCCCCATCTGTGTGCCATTGCCCATGCTTATCGCTCATAACCATCGCCCATTGCCATACCCACAGCCCATCCCACCAGGGTCTGAACGTGTACAGCATTGTGCAGCATGACGCCCTCGTGCTCTCGCTTTGAAAATTCCCGAAATTCTCCTCATTCTTGTGTTCTATGTGTGTATCATCACTCGTACCATAATCATGACCCATCCCACCAGGGTCTGAACGTGTACAGCATTGTGCAGCACGACGCACTTGTGCTCTCGCTGCCGGCCCTGCAGGCCTTGGAGCACCGCCTCCTCTCCGCGAAGCGGCCGGCTCGGCCAGGCCTGGAGGAGAAGCTCGGCGCTGCTGCAGCTGCCACGGTTTGAGATGCTATGGCGTGCCGTTGCAACTTCCAACCTTCAAAATAGTTCCTTCTCTTGAGGAGAGCTGTGGTGAGTTGAGAAGGGATGGGGTTGAGCTAGGTTACCGCAGAACAAGACACATAAACGCACGAGTGGGTGTTTTGCAGCTGGCATTCTGAATAGAGATATTCGAAGGCAATATACTAAGAGTAGAATGAAAGCACCAGATTCAGTTGGCCTACTTCCCAAACCGGTGTAGTTATCTCCAGACGGTGGTGGCAAAGGTTTACCTCTATGAAGCCAGAAACCCAAGTACCCGCATGAATAGGGCTGGCGCTCAATTAAAGGTTGTTTAAAGATGATCATGTGCAGTCATTTTGAGTCAATTGCATAATAAAATCGTAAGATACAACACCATGACAAAACACGCTGGCTGTAGAGATACGCTGAAATGCGAACTTATTCGGAAGCCCCTCGAAACTGACAGAGGGAACACGCTTCACTCAGCCTTGCTCGCTCGCACTAAGTAGAGTCGTCCTTACTTACCACACCCACGTGTAACCTGCAGCCTTAGCAGCGGCCTCAGCCTGCTGAGCAGCGAGCGTGGCGTTGTACGCACGAGAAGCCATAAGATTCGCCGCCGAGTCCGCGCTGATCTTGTTACTCACACCGTTGCTCTGTAAAATCTTCGCGTTGCTCACATTCGCGGACTTCGCAGGAATAGACACATTCGCGTAGCTCACGTCAAACTGCGCCTGAATCACCGCAGCCTTGGCATCCTCATACGCCGCAGCGGCTTCGTCCAGCTCAAATTTTGCGTCGTCTATCACGTGCTGCTGCGCGGCAATGTCCTCCTGAACGCTCGCGGGGTCCTCGAGAGCTTTCTGCTTCTTAGCGAGAAAACCCTGCGCCCGCGCCGCCTGTTTAGTCATATCTGCCAGAAGCGCCTCCGCGTCAGCCTTCTGCGTTTTCGCCGCCTCCAGGTCGTCCTGAGCATCGGTCAGATCTGCGCCCGAGAGCCTCGGATCGGCAGCCCTCCGAGTCGCCTTGTAGACGTCGAAGTTCAAACCGGCGATAGCGGCCGTCTGGTCGTCAATCATTCGTGCCGCAAAATCCAGCCGCCGCTTCGCGTCCGACACAGCCTGCTTCAGCGCCGTCGCGTTGCTGCTCTCCGCCACCATCTTCTCGAGCCGCGCCTGCTGCTCCACCGTGATTTCCTGCAGCGACTGAATTGTCGCGGCCGACTCGTTCACCGCGGCGATCTTGCCAGCTTAAGACGGTTGACCAGCGGCACGGCGTCGTTATACGCGACGACGGCGGCGGCGAGAGTGGCGTTCGCCGCGAGAAGCTCCTGAGCCCGCTGCGCGGCGGTGCCGTTGGCCTTGAGCGAGTCGTTGGTGCAGTTGACGGCGAATGCGCGCGTGCTGCGCGCCTTGGTCACGAGGAACGGCTCTGTCTGCGCCGCAGAGAGGTTGACGGACGACAGGAGGCACGCGGCGACGGTCGCGAGGACCAGCAGGAGAGTCTGACGAAACGCCATGGTTTGATAGTAGCAGCGAGACGTTTGCTGGCTTTGCGTGGTTGATGGCTAACCGGTGCTGAAGGATTGAAGGTAGAAAATGCTATGTGAAGGGTTGGTCTCAGGTAAAGTTGGTACTGGTAGTGGTAGTGTTGCTTGTGGTTTGAGAACCACGACGCGGGGGTTATATACGCGGGGGACGAGAGGTAAGGCCAAGCAAGCATGTTTCGAGAAGTTCCTGAAGAGTGGAATGGGAACAGAGTGGGAGAGGGGGATGCGCCAGCTGGATTGGGTTGCGCGAATTGCGTAGGACCGCACAGCGGCCCTAGCGGCGTCTCACAATGTCGCGTCGCACTCATCTCGCGAAATCCGTGGGACATGTCGCGCGCTGCTGAGCTTAGCAGATAAGTGCGGTGGATGGTGGATTTTCCTTGTCAGGAAGCTATAGGAGAGATTTGTACCCATTTGGTGAAGCATCGTTGTGCCCCCGGTCCCGTTGCCCCTCCCACCAGAACGCCCCTCATTTCTCGAGGGCGGTGAGGTGAAGCAAGGCTTCCACCTGGATCGGTAGGCCCGGAAAGATATCTGTCGGGAAGGAAGCGCAGCATTGCGTGACTACGCAGGCACAACTGGGCTCTGTGGAGTAGGTAGTGTCTAGTTTCCAATGGCGATTTGAGGAAATCTGAGCAGGGGACAAGGGAAAGCAATGGCACCAGTCTAGCGAACAGAGGGCATAGTATTTGTATATGTCGCCCTGCCATGTGAAGGCAGTGACGCATTCTGCCCACTGGAGCAAGCGCGTGTGGAAGATGGGCGAAAGTGTGGTACAATGTGGTACAGTGGGTAGCTCGTGAGAGTAGGCCCAGCCTTGAAAAACGACGTGGGCCGTGTTCATTTCTGGAGGGAATGACGGATCGCCCTGTTTTCGGGTTTCCAATTCCTTTTGGCAGTGGTTTTGACACCGCCTTGTTTTGCGCTCGCGTCCGATACCTTCGGTCAGATAATTACGCTATTTTTCCTTTTGAGTCCTAAGACGAATATTCTGTTTATTTACTGGGATATCCTAAATTATATCGTCGCGTCAATAACGAGCAGCTCGGGACAAAAAATATATTACCCCTCACGGACGGCATGCCATTTGGGAGGCATCAACCCTAAACACCATGAGGCAAGGTGTTTAGGGTTGATCCCTCCCAAATGGCCAGCCATCCGAGAGGGTTTTCTTTTTTCCAGGTATATTTTATAGTATCCCTGGTCACAAGAAATTGGGATTGTCGAAAAAAACTGCCCCAAGGAATCGGACGCGAGCGGAAAAGCGAGGCGGTGTCAAAACCACTGCCAAAAGGAATCGGAAACTCGTAAACAGGGCTATTCGTCATTGTCTCTCATATCTGACATGGTGTTGAGGCGCGCGGGGTGTTTGTCACCGTAACGTGGAGTTCATCCATTGGCTAAATCAATCCTAAGGTAGATGGAGAGGACTCCGAGCAGTTCCATCCTGCATACAGTCGCATCTTCGATAAACAAAATTAACAGGATACGAATGTCAGCTATATGGATGCTTGTTATCTTTATATGTTTATTACAATATTCTGTGTGTATCACTAGCCCTAAACCCGAAACCCTGATACAGATCATCAGCATGATTCAAATCAGCCCCCTCAAGCATAGCTATTACAATTATAGTTTGAATAACCAAGTCTTCCAAAAATGACAAACATACTCATAGGATACCTTGTGCATCTTCTTCACAAAACACCAGGCCCCTCATAAATTGTGAATATTCCATTTTGGGAGGTGTTTCTATGTGCTTGCTGACAGGACAAATCTGGGCTGAACGCGCTTTCGCATTTGGATCAGGTGCACTGACTCCATCATGGTTTCCCGAGCAGACATTCCCAGAGGTTCCCCTCGCTAGTCACGAGCAGAAAACAGATTCCCGCCTAGAGTAGGCAGTTGCGGAGTTGACTGCGACTGTGAGTTCCTTTCACCTGGCCTGGCCTAAACACGTGGAAGACGGGGCACTAGGGCATGGAGGGCTCGAGCTCGCGCACCAAGAATCTGGTGGAAGGTTTAGGGGCTTCGCAAAGTGTTTTTGAGGCTTCGCCTGTCACTCAACCCATCCGAACCTCCAACTGGCAGCTCGCCGAACCTAGAAATACTCAGTTGACTTCCGTTGAGTAATTCAGGTCTTGGGCTTTAACGCGCCTGCCAGACTTCCAGTCAACCCCGACACGAAAGCGGGAAAAATCACCACGCCATTGAGGTTACCCTGATGCAGTGCACAAACCTTCCCCCCACCCATCCCCCCCGAAAAGTCATCAGTCGAAACATTCAGAATAGGTTTGCCCGTCCATTTTTCCACTACTACACTAGACGTGAAGTGGATACACTACGGAATGTGAGGAGAAACCCAGTTCACCGGAAAATCTGAGACGCGTGGATTTTCCACATACGGCATCGCGAAACCAGGGGGTGTACAGAACACACGGGATTGCCTCGTCCAAGGATGGGCAGGCAGTATTTGCGGTGGGGAAAAGGTCCATCCATGTCCGTCCATCTCCGTGAAATGGCGGGGCGGGAATCATCCGGGCGGAAACTATTTCTTCCAGGTGGTATTTACCCTGTCAGTGAGACCCCGAAACCCACAGAAGCTTACCTCGTCCTCCTGTGTTGTCGGAGCAGCATCGGTGGGTGCCGCTCGTCCCTTATGAGCATTGGGCAGGCACCCACGCCACAGCGAGGGCAGGGATCCTACATAGGTAAAGCTTAGTTTCTAATCCAGGTGCCGCTAAAGGTTAGCAAAGGCTTCCGGTTGTAAGTCAAGGGAGGGAAGAGAATATCGTTGTTCATCGCGTTTTTTTGGCATAGCTGAAGTAGAAAACCCTTTATTCGTTCTAAGTAGTGAAGGCATCTAAAAACAGAGAGACAGCTTGATTTGGCTCGCGCCGAGTCGTCTGGGAAGCAAAGCTTTAAACCAGTGGCAGTAGTAGTAGTAAGTTCCGCCGTCGGAGGTGGTTTCGGATCCACCCACCTAGTGCCGACTTCGCTCCAAGAGAGAGAGAGAGGGAAACAAGCGGCGCGACGAGCGATGTCGTCCGGAGCCATCGCGACGGACGCGTCGGCGAATGGCGCGGTGGCGTCGCCGCCTCCGCAGAGCAACGGCAACAGGGCGATGACGTATGCGTCGGTGATCTCGCTGCACCAGCTCAATATCGCCGTGATCGCCGTTCTCGTGCTGCTCGTGCTGCTCGTGCTCGTCCTCTCCATCGCCAAGGCGCGCTCCACGTGGCTCCACCGCCGCGCCGTCTTGCGTCAGCAGGCGGAAAGCGCGCAGAACCTTCGGCCGGTCGGTCAACGCGGTCTGCTGGTCGACGACCGGCCAGGGAACGGTATTACCGAGGAGCTGATTAAGTTGCTAGGGCAAGTGGTGGCGTTCGAGGCGGCGAAGGTCGGCGGGGAGTGCGAGAGCGAGCGCGAGTGTATCGTGTGCCTGGGGGAGTATAACGAGGGCGACATGGTGCGCGTGCTGGACGCGTGCCACCACATGTTCCACCAGGTGAGACACGTGTCAGCCCGCGTGTTATCATTTGAGACACGTGTTCCATCAGGTGCGATGCGTGTGCCTGGCTGGACGAAGGCGTACCATGGATGAAGGGTGAAGATGTAGTGCGAGCATGGACGAAGGCGTATGACAGCCTGAGGGTGTGAGCGAGCGAGTTGGCGCAGCGCCCTAGGGCGGACGGTGTGCTGTGCACGCGCGATGGAACTACGGCAGTAAGGGGCCGTAGGGCGAACTTTGAGGCTCCTCAAAAGGCGAGCGAGTTTGCGCAGCGGCCTAGGGCGGAAGGTGTGCACGGGCGATGGAGCTACAGCAGTAAGGGCCGTAAGGCGCAGGGTGTGTGCAGTGAGGGCGCTAGGCCGCAGGTTGTTGGCAGTAAGGGGTCGTAGGGCGCAGTTTGTTGGCAGTAACGGGCCGTAGGGCGCACAGTAAGGGGCGTCGATAGGACCTGGCGTGTGGCCATCGCGTTCCCGCGTGTGGCCATCGCGTTCCCGCGCGTTGGACGCCGTAATTATTCGCCAGTTCTGCTGCTACTTTGCATGCCACTTCCTTCGAGATTCCCCTCGTCTTATAGATCGACGCCTCATTCCCCCTTCCCCCTCCTCTCCCCCGTTTCCTCCCCTCTTCCCTGTCCTCCCTTCTTCCCCTCCCTGTGCCCCATGCCCACCATGTTCCCCCTCACCTCACCCCCCGCGCCCGCTGGTGTGTGCAGGATTGCATAGACGCGTGGCTCAAGGCCCACAACTCGTGCCCCATCTGCCGCACCGTGCTGCTGCCCGCGCGCCCCGCTCACACTGCTGCCGGGGCGGACGCCGGGCAGCATTTGCACGGCCACCACCACCACAGCCACCACCACCACATGCACCACCACCACCCCCACCACCACCACCACCACAACCCCGAAGCTGCTCTTGGTCAGGCACACCCATCCCCGGACCAATCACATCCATCTACAGACCAATCGCGTCTATCTTCGGACCAGTTAGGTCCATTTCAAGACGAATCAGGTCCATCCCCGGGCGAATCGGGACTACCTTTGGACCATGTGCATGTGCATGTGCACACGGACCAATCACGCGCCGCTCACGGGCAGCTGCATGAGGTGCAGGAGCAGAGCGGTTACTGTAACAGCATCACTGCTGTGTCCCCTGCAAGTGCAGGCACAGGCCATGCTGTTCTCTCCCTTGCAGAGGTTGAGGGACGAGAGGGTCTTGGAGGTGGCGATAGGGATTCTTCTGTGGCTGAACCCATTTTAGAAGCAGTGGTCGGGGCCAAGGTTGCTGCTGCGTCAAAAGACTTACTGGTAAAAGAGGGGGCGGAGTGCAGAGAAAGCGGGCATGTGGGTGTGGAGATAGCTGAGGCAACACAAGGCAGCTGCTGTGCTGCTGAAGGAAATGGGAGCACACGTCATGAAGATGTGGGAGGTCGCGGAGGGAGCGGTGCAGAACCCATGCATTTGCATGTATCAATGCAAATTTGAAGGGCGGTGTGCCCTTCTAGCCAATTTGTAGGCATGCTGCTAGCAATCAATCCTGGCACATTAAGAGCATTAGTGTGTACAGTTTTGTTTATATCCCGAAGATGTATCTCACACTAAAAGCCATTTTTTCATTGCTCTATCCAGGGCGTCAGAAGTCAGCGAAAAGGGGCAGAGTTATGTAAAAACGGCCGAGGTCAGCATTTTTTTTTTGTTAAGAACCAGGAAAAAATCATAAAATCTGTAGTTTAAATTTTCATAAAATGGCTGAATTGTCTGTTTTTCTGCATAAATTTTTGTACCATCTCTGATATTTCAGCCTGGCCCAAAACGAGTCTGAGGCCCTGGCTCTATCCATTCAGACTCGCGAGCATAAAAGGAACCATTCAGGCTGTGTTTGTTTGCTGGTGGGGTGGAATTTCCCCCAAGCACTTTTGTTCTGTCCGCTCGAACGAACATGTCAGGATGTGTCAGCAACTAATCGCTGATTGGTTGGAGCTTGTTGCACGTCGCCCCTGTCGGAGCTGATCTGCGGTCTGCTCGAGGCGCAAGCGTTGCGGGTATTCGAGCCGCGTGAACACATGCGACTGAAATTCATCAGAAATTCTCACCAGCTCCAGAATTCGCTGGTGCACCAGTCGACTTTCCCTTGATTTCATAAACAGCACTTGCACATTCCACCATACTGGTTCGAGCAGGTGAGTAGAGTCCAGGTCCCACTGCTCTTCCGCTTTCTGCTTCTGATCATACGAGCAACGCACAGTGACGTTAGAGAAGAGATCAGATGCTGGTATAGATCCCGGTCACGATTCTCTCAAATCTAGTCCCTGGCTAAGGTTCCTCAAGAAGATGAGTCGCTCGTCCATCCCGAAACGAGCCTATCGAGCCCTCCTAGTCGCGCTTCTCGTATTCTGCCTCTCCCATACTCCTCCCGCCTTCGCATCTCTGCCGGTCTCGGGATCTCTTTACTCTCCGAACTCACCATCCATACGCACCGATGACAAGAACCCATTCGCTGCGTTCCGGAACTTCTTCGAGGAGAAGACCATATTATTTCAATCAAGAAACTCGCTTGGCCACCCGGAAGCGGTTATCGGACCTCCGATTAACGAGTCTGCTAGGCCGTTCAGTCGATTATTGCAGTCCTCCTCCTCCTCTCTCTCCGATTGCCCCTTCACCACCACCAATCCCCTCCACACCTGCGCCATGGGCTACGCCGCATCTGCCGGCGTGACCGGCGGGCACGGGAAGCCTGCCTACGTGGTGACCAACGCCGACGACTCACTCCCAGTCGGCACCAACGGCTCGTTGCGATGGGGGTTAACGCGCGCCTATGCCGCTGCGGGAACCAACGGCATCTACATCACGTTTGCGAAGAAAATCGACGTTTTGCTCATGGGGCCGTTAGCGGTGCCGTCGGGCACGACAATCGACGGGCGGGGAGTTGCCGTCCGGCTGTTCGGGTCGTCCGTCGTGGTTCGCAACGCCCGGAATGTGATTGTGCACAATATCGAAGGTACGACTCGAGGGACAAAAAATGCAGGTAGTGAAACACGCTCGGAATGTGTAATTTCCAACATTTTGTTTTGAATCGTCGCTCTTGGGGAACGTAAACAGCCTCGTCGGTCGCACCTAACCCATCCTTCCTCCGCGCCCCTTCCACTCGCAATCATGCGATACCCCTCCATTTTCCAGTGCAAAGCGTGCAGTTCCCCAACGTGAACAGCGGCGTGAGCATCATCGACAGCACGGTAGTGTGGCTGGATCACGTGCGAGTGCGCGACGCTATACCGGGGGCAGTGGAGGTCGTTGGCAGCAGCGCGGGCAGCGCCGGGAGTGTGACAATATCGAGCTGCCACCTGAGGAACGTGTATCTGCCCGGTGTGATGATAAGGGGGCCCGGAGCGGGATCATTAGGCAGTATCGTCAGCACCCGCAGCTCCAACAGCAGCGGCGGCAGTGGGGGAGGCGTAGGGAGCGGGGGGAGCGGCGGAAGCGGGGGTAGCGGCAGTGGAGGCGGAGGAAGCAGTAATAGCAGCAGAAGCAGCGGCGGCGGCGGCGGTAGCGGAGGTGGCGGCGACGGCGGAAGCAGCACGAGAAGGAAGACGCAGGCGATAAGCGGCAGCAGCAAGAGCAGCGGGAATGGCACCAAGACGACGAGCACCAAGAGCACCAACAGCAGCACCACCAGTTCGGGCGCGAAAGCTACGAGTCCCCCCAAAAGCCCCACCTCACCTCCTAAAAGCCCCAGCGCCCCGCCCAAAACCCCAGACTCTTTGAAAGCGCCGAGCGCGCCGAAAGCTGCGAGCCCACCTGGCGGCGCGAGCAGCAGCACCAAGAGCGCCGGCGGCAGCGCATCTCCTCCGCTGACCGTGACGCTCTTCAGGAACTGGTTTGACTCGAGCGACAACGCCAACCCCCAATGCGCTGCCGCCACGTGTCACCTCGCGAATAACTTGCTGTCGAATTGGCGAACGTGGTGCATCCAGGCGAAGCTCGCTGCAAGCGTTCGGTCAGAAGGAAATATTTTTCTTGCCGCCGGGCAGAAAGACGCGGCGCGATCAGACGGCTCGTCGGTGGTTTCTCTAGGAGACCGGCTGGGGAACGGCGCGGTCTTTAACTCCCAAGGGGCTGGAATAATATTCACTCCGCCATATTCGATCACGCTCGCGGCGCCTGACACGGCGCTAGAGAGCTTCATTCAGCAGTCCGCGGGCCCGCGCGTCATGGCGCGTCCGCCCATGCAGCCCCCCCCGCCCCCTGCTTCCCCGCCGCCGCTCCCCAAATCCCCCCCTCCACTGCAATCTCCGCCTCCCCCGCCCGCCCCCCTCACTAATATCAACATGAATCCTCCGCGTTCCCCGCGCACCCCCCCTCGGTACCCCCCTGTTTCTTCTCCGCCACCACCGACGAACTCTCTCCCGGCCCCCCCCGCTCCCCCGTCCGCGGACCTCCCAGACGCGCAATGCGCGTTTGATTCGGATTTGCCGCTGCACAATTGCTCTCTAGGGTTCGCGCGGGGTGTGCTGGGGGGATTCGGACGCAGCGAATATGTGGTTACCAACGACACCGATAGCATCATCGCGCCTGTGGAGGGTTCGCTAAGATGGGGTTTGCAGCAGTACAGGGACGGAGTGTACATTCGGTTCGATTCGTCTATGACAATTAATCTCAGAGGAAGACTATTTATATCATCTTACACAACGATTGATGGGCGAGGAGGCCAGATTCGAATTATGGGAGACACGATCGTGGTGCAGTCTGCGCAGCATGTGATTATACACAATATTGAAGGTAAGAGCAGGGTGTAGTACTCATGTCACTTTCACAATCGCTCTTGGTCCTCGCCCTCGCACCCTCCTCATCCCCTCTCAGCCTCCCTGCCTCATTTTTCATTCCTTAAACATTCCCCCCCTTCTGCCAGCAGCACAGTGTGCGTGGACCACTTACATCCCTGCTTTCCCATTCCCCCACCCTTGCTGTCTTCCTCTCCCATCCCTCCCAGTGGGCGAGGTGGAAGAAGCCACCTATGGCAGGCAGGACGGCATGGCCATACGAGCCAGCACCATGGTGTGGGTGGACCACTCACATCCTGCTCTTCCCCATATCTCCACTCCCCCCTCGTCCCCTCTCTCTTTCCAGTGGGCGAGGTAGACCAAGCCCCATTCGGCACGCAAGACGGCGTAGCCATCAGAGCGAGCAGCATGGTGTGGGTGGACCACTGCCTCGTGCACAACGCCCCTCTTGGAACCATCGACCTCCTTGCTTCCTCGGACACTGTAACTGTCTCATACTGCCACCTCTCCAACTACCTCCTCCCACTCGCCTCCGCCAACACCACGTCAGCGCTGCCGCCCGCCGACCCGACGAGCCCAGACGAGGGCACGGGCACAGATGGGGATGGGGGTACAGGAGAGCCTGATGGTGCACGAGTTACCTACTTTGGGAATTTCTTTGAGGGGCCGTCAGCACCCATGCTGCACTGCCAGGCGTCGCTGTGCCATGTGGCAAACAATCTATTTGCCAACTGGACAGACACGTGTATTGTGGCGCGCGGAGGCGCGTCGGTGAGATCGCTCAATAACGTGTACGCCAGCACGATTCCGGGCGCGGCAGGGATTGTAACGGCGAATGCGGACGGCGCTAGTTTCTTTGTAACGAGCGGCGATCTGGTGAGGAATGGAGTGCGGTTTGTGGTGAGTTTGCCGCCTGGAGTGAGTGGGAGTGCGGACATGCCACCTCTGCCCTACTCCCTGCCGGTAGACAAAGCTGACTCAAGCCTTCCAGGCACGATCAAGGGGAATTCGGGGCCTCAGTTCTGAAGTCAAACAAGTCAATGGAATCAACAAGCGGATGAAGTCGCAGGCTGTTTACCATCTAGCGTGCGTGCTTTTGTATAATAGCACAGGTTCTTGCTGTTAGAAAGATTCTTATTGGACAGAGCATGGTGGGTTCATGTGATGTCTGTAAGCTAATTAAACCCAGCCAGGGACTTCCAAAGCAGCTTCTGTGCACTGATATTTGAACCAAACATTCTAGGGCGTCAGGTGCTGCAGGGAAACATGAAAACAACCCCCGCTGAAGTGCTGCTGGTGCCCGCACTGGCTGGGCCTTTCCAGTGACTGTTGAGTGAATCGCATGTGTGCAGTCAAGCGGGGCCCACGAGTCGGCGCGGGCCAAGGTCCTGACGAGGGCGCTGGGGACACACATGGACGGCGAAGGGAGCAGGGGGGAGGGGGGAGGTGGTGAGGTGTGCGGTGTTGAAAGGTGGGGGGGGGAGAGATGGGCCTGGGGGTGTGGGGACGTGAGGATAGGCAGCAGGTGCATGTGGCGTGCTCTAGGTCTTGCGCTAAGTTATTTTTTTGAGGCGCCTCAAAAGCCGTCTCATGTCTCGCGGTTTTTATGTGGGGAGAATTATAATTGCATGGAAGTGTGCACGTAACCTTCAGCGGTTACTCGTAAGGGCGCGATTACCAAAGTCACTCGCCAATGCTGTCGAAGAAGTTCCCGAAGGCTGACTTGGCACCCTGAATTTGTTTCATTGCCTAGTTGGCGAACCCCTTTCCTAGTTGGATTCTGGGTAGTTGGGTTTCTTATACGTAGATCTCGAGGGTAGTCTAGCTATTTTAGCTGCTACCAGACTCTCTGTTTCTGAGTTCCGAATTGTGCTGTACTGATGAAGGCGTGATTGGGTTCGCCCATCCGCCGAAACTAGTTTACGCAAGGAGGCTTTTCGGAAGCTAAGGGTTTTTTCAGATCTGCGTTTTTCTCACCTTTTTTCACTGTTTGATTCCTTTGCTTAAGCGTCCTCTCTACTACTGCAGCCCTTCGAAACATGAGTCAGGGTGGCAGCAGGTGCATGTGGCGTGCTCTAGGTCTTGCGCTAAGCCCCCATCCCATCGATGGCTGCATGGGTGCATGGGTGCATGGGTGCATGGCTGCATGGGTGCATGGGTGCATGGGTGCATGGGTGTATGGGTGCATGGCAGCATGGGTGCATGGGTGCATGGGTGCATGGGTGTATGGGTGCATGGCAGCATGGGTGCATGGCAGCATGGGTACATGGCAGCATGGGTGCATGGGTGTATGGGTGCATGGCAGCATGGGTGCATGGCAGCATGGGTGTATGGTATGGGTGCATAGCAGCATGGGTGCATGGCAGCATGGGTGCATGGGTGTATGGGTGCATGGCAGCATGGGTGCATGGGTGTATGGGTGCATGGCTGCATGGGTGCACGGGTGCACGGGTGCATGGGTGCATGGCAGCATGGGTGCATGGCAGCATGGGTGCATGGCAGCACGGCTGCATGGCAGCATGGGTGCATGGCAGCATGACAGCATGTATAGAGCATCTACGTATCAGCGGGGCTAAGGGCACAGGCAAGGACTCACGGAGTTGAAGGCGAGGGTGCGGCGGTCCCCCACGAAGCTCAGGAACTCCAACACCTGGTTGTCCGGTACCTTGAGCGGGGCCGCTGTGAGGGGGGAGGAGGCGAAGAGGAAGGGAAAAGAAGAGGGGATTGAGTTAGAGGGTGCAGTGCAAGCAGCACCGTCGCCCACGTAGCTCATGGACTCCAACACCTGGCTGTCCGGTACCTTGAGGGGAGCGGCTGGGGTCGGAGGAGGGGGGGAGAGGAGAGAAGCGGGAGAGAGGTGAAAGGAGAGGAGAGGAGGGGGAGGGGAGGAGGAGGGGGAGGAGGAGGAGGAGGAGGAGGAGGAGGAGGAGGAGGAGGAGGAGGAGGAGGAGGAGGAGGAGGAGGAGGAGGAGGAGGGGGAGGAGGAGGAGGAGGGGATAGAGTTTGAGTAGGCGGTGCAAGCAGCATGGGCACCCTCTCAGCCTGACTGGCGACCTCATTTGCGAGCAAGCTGTAGCAAGCTGTAGCAAGCTGTAGCAAGCCCTGGCAGTGTTGCTTCACACGTGATACCCCTGCTACCTTCCAGTCATGCACCCTCCAGTCATGCACCCTCCAGTCATGCACCCTCCAGTCATGCACCCTCCAGTCATGCACCCCTGCGAAACCACCCCCTCTTCCCCTCATCCCCCCTCCCCCGCCTTCCCCTCCTACACCCCCCTCTCCACCCCACTCGCCCCCATTTGTTGATCCAATCCCCTCTAACCACTCACCAAGCACGAACCAATCGACCACATCAGAGCAGGCAGGGTCGGCCAGGGAGCCCTGGTAGTGGATGTACGCGTGTGAGGCGTCCTGGAGGGGGGAGGACAAAGGGGTAGAGGGGCAGAGAAAAGAGGTGGATAGCGATGGAGAGAGGTGGCAAGGGGTAGAGCGGACATAACATAGTCTGCGAGTTTACATTTCCATTTAGCCACACACACACAGACACACACATAAATGTATACACATACACATGCTATATATACATGCACATATACACATGTATATGTACAAGTATATGTACAATTACATGTACAAGTGTATTTGCATGAAGACAGGAGAAACAGAAGAGGGGTGGTGATACTCAGGGGTTGGTCAGCAGGCGGCAGCAGCGGCTGGGGGCTGGTCTGCACGCACAGGCGCTGCTGCAGGGCGACCGACTATATCAGTTAATCGGAACCACCATTAAGAATTTTCAAAGGTGATAGAAAGAGGTAGGGCTGGCGCTTACAGGTCTGTCGGTAGGGGGTAGCAGTGGCTGCGGGCTGGTCTGCACGCGCAGGCACTGCTGCAGGGCAGAGCGTGCGCCCCCCCTGCCCACCACCGCCACCTCCAAACACTCCTGAGGTGCCTCTCTGGGGGAAGGGAAGGGGGGACATGGGAGGCGGGAGTGGGGAGAATGTGGGGGAAATGAGGGAGGAGGAGCAGCAGGGCCGTACCTTGGCTACTGCCAACCACTGCACTTCCACACACTCCCGGGGGAGCGCACAGTGCGCCACAGTGCGCCACAGTGCGCCACAGTGCGCCACAGTGCACCACAGTGCGCTACAGTGCGCAGTGTGGGGGGATGAGCGGAAGAGAAGGGGGACGCATGTGAGGGAAAAGCAGGGGCGTGCCAGAAGCATCCTCCAGACACAGGTTGTGGGGGAGGGGCACTGTGCGCACCACCATACCCGCATTGCTGCTCGTGCCTGTCACTCACCACCGCCCCACTCCCATCACCGCCAACACTCCCGCGCGTCATACCTGCCACTCACATCTGTGTGTTCTTCTCGCCCGCGGCGAATGCCAGAGCGGCCTCCCGGCACAGGTCGCTCTGCGTTGCTCTGCTGTGGTGCTGATGTGCTCGCCTCTCTCCCCCTCTCCTGGCCGCATCACAGAGCTCCCCCATCACGCCTGCAGCTCACCCATCCCCCCCCACCACTCACTCACATCTGTTTCTTCTCGCCCAGGGCGAACGCCAGAGCCGCCTCCAGGCACAGGTTGCTCTTGTTGCTCTACTGGCCTCACAATGCCAGAATCTCTGTAGTCACCTCTCGCCCCACCCTCGGCACTCACATCTGCTTCTTCTTCTCGCCCGGGGCGAACGCCAGAGCCGCCTCCAGGCACAGGTTGCGCGGCGCCCGTGGGTCCGCCTCTATCATCACTCTAGGCAGGGGGAGAGGGCGCAGGGGTAGTGGGGCGTTCGGGGGGCATTGGTGGGGGGAATGGCAGGGGATTGAGGGGGGTGTTGGGGGGGATTGGAGGACGTGGGAGGAGGATAACAGGAGAGGAGGGAGGGAACGAATCTGGTTAAACTGTGTGACTAAAACGGATGCAACATCACGAGCTAGTACTGATGAGCCACGTGACTAAAACGGGGGTGCAACATCACCAGCAGCAGTGGTGACTCACCCAATGACTGCCAGCTTGCCGTCAGCATCGCCTGCACGGGAACAGGTGGGGAGAAGGGGCGATGGCACGTATGGGAGGCATGAGGTTGAGTGACTGAGCGATGGAGAGAGTGATGGGAGTCAGAAGTGGTGAGAGGGGAAAGGAGGGGGTGAAAGTGGGCGAATGGTGGCTCGGGTCAGCAATGGTACGGCTCCACATAGCACACAAACAACCAGCAACGCTCCCCTCCCCCACCCACCCAAGACTCGTCAAAACGCGCCACCTGTTGCAATGCCGCTACTTATGGTCACACCCCTCGCTAAGCTCCCCCTTCTTAGCTCGTTACAGCCACCTCGCCAGTCACCTTGCTACAGTCCCCAGCTACAGTAACCTCGCCCCAGTCCCCTGGCGACATCGACGTACGGTGCGCCTCCATGGGGCAGCGCACGCCGCTAAGGGGTGAAGAAGGTGTCACTCGCTACAGTCACCTCGCTACAGTCGTTCGCCACATCCCCCTTGCTACAGTCACCTCGCTACAGTTCAACCCCTACAGTCACTCGGCTACAGTCACTCGCTACACGTACGGTGCACGAGGTGCGCCTCCATGGGGCAGCGCACGCCGTTGAACGAATGCTCGCTGGGCGCGTGGAAGTGGTACTGTAGCAGCTGCATCTGCCGCCCGCCCACCGCGCATGTGTTGCTGCCGCCCGGGAAGTTCACCTGCGGGCGGCAGAAGCGGAAGAGAAGCGGGAGAGCGGAAAAAGGGGGTGAAAATGGGAGATGGCGGGGGAGAGAGGGCGGGAGAGGGGGGGTGAGGGGGGGTGAAGGGGAGTGACGGGTTTAAAGGAGGAGACAAGCGAGCGAGATGAAAAGGAAACAGCGAGGAGACTGGTCGCACTGAACGACTCGCCTGCATCGTGCCGTGCCCCGTGTTGAGGAACGACGCGTCGGCGTTCTTATAGGCGAATGAGATATTGCCGAGGCTGTTGTCTTTCGTCAGCTTCGACACCGCGTTCAGCGGACCGCCGGTTGCGGACTGCGCCGCGTCGCCCGGCGAGCACAGCTCGCCCCACTCCATCGGCCCGGAAATGTCGACCTTGCTCGTATCCGCGGCCAATGCGGCCCCGATAGAGGATCCTCCGTTAGAGTCACAAATGGGGCAGCCCACGACCGCCGCCATGCCCGCCGCTAGTCCGCCGAGGATCAGCCGCCGGTTGACGACGCGCGGCCCGGGGTGGCCGTGGGAGGCGCTTTTGGGCTCTGCGGCCGCCTTTCCGTCTTTCGCGGCGCAGCGGACGGCAATGGCGGGAGCGTTGTTGGCGGATGTAAGGGGAGCTGCGCAGGCGGCGAGGCTAACCGGCCGGCCGAGCATCTCGCATTTCTCCAGCGATGATTGGACGCAGGCGGCCAGCGGCGCGCGAAGCGACGAGGAGGTGGCAAGAGCAGCCATTGATGCAACTAGGAGAACCGGCCTTCAAGGAGAAGAGCTATAAATCTTAGCTGTCCTTTTACTTGCCTACTCTCCTAAGTGCTACTTTATCACTGAAAGTCGTGGTTGAGAGAGTTTCTCGGAGTGGGATGAGCTGATGCACGAAGGGCTGGAGCTTGAAGGGCAGTGTAAACTTCCAAAAGCACCCTCTGTGTCTGGTTCTTAGAACCGCGTTTACGTGGTGGAACAGAGTGGAGAGTTGAATTTTGAAATCTACTTTCCTTCAGCACAGCTGAAACAAACTCTTGGCGTCGACAAAAGAAAAATAGTTCCAGTGCCCGCCATCTCAAGGACGTGAGCTTCGCGAAATCTACGGTTCTCAGTTTGCTTCCAGCCAGTCGATCAATATCCGACATCCATTCCCGAATCGCGCATTCGATGTGTAAGCCATGTCATCAAGAACACGCGGATTGATCTCCACGTGGTATATACCGCTTACTAAAACACTTCGTTTAAACACTTAGGCACACATGAAAACGATTTGCTCATGTGTGTACCATCAGAATACCATCCACGCAATCCTGAAGACTTGGACCAGAATAAACTTGAAATGTCATTTTTTTTCCCACACACACCAATCCCCTGAGATTGACTAGTCTGTGCTGGCAACACCTCGCTTGAATCACCACTTCCTCCTCCACGCAGTGGTCGAGAATCCGCGGCACGCGGGACTCGAGGAACGTTCGTCAGGCATTTCGTGCGTCGAATGATCGTGACCCACGTGTTCAATCCTGAGTTGTCAAAGTCGCGCCAAACCAGATTCAACCACGCTCCTTGGAGTTATCACTCGTGTAGCGTGGGGTGTGGGTGTGTGTGGGCTGGCTGGACCCTTTTTTCCAAAGCAGTGCTTGTCCAACCAAACCTGAAGGGGGGAAGAAGCAAATCTCACACAACACAAGCAAGGGTAGGAAATTAGCTCCAGCTGCGGCGAAGGCATGATTAGGTTGATCTGATATCGTACTTCTCAACCCCTTCCGATCTGCCACGCCCAGTGGTTAACTGTCGGTCCAGCCATGGCGACTAGCGCTTTCGAAACGTACTGGAAGGTAGGATCGAGTTAACCTGGAGAGCAGAAGCGTTTCTTTCGGCTTGGTATCTGACATGAACGGCATTCTCTGCAGGCTCTGACTGACAACTTCACAGACTTCCAGCTGGCGACCATCGGAAGCTTCCTGATTCATGAGTGCGTCTTTTTCATGTCCGGACTTCCTTATCTGATCCTCGAGAATCTAAATGTTCGAAAATTCAAGCTCCAGGTGCGTCGACATCCCGTTGGTCTCGTGGTACGGCTCCATTAGCAACTTAGGTTGGGATCTGAGCGTGGTTCGTGTCATTGCAGAAAAAGTCGAACCCGGCATCATCACAGATCAAATGCGTGTTGAAGCTGCTGATGTACCACTGCCTGGTCAACCTACCGCTGATCATGGCGTCCTACCCGGTCTTCAAGTACATGGGCTTCAGAAGCACGCTTCCCCTCCCGCACTGGTAATGCTTCCGCTCTCTTTGCAGTTTGCATGGGTAGATCGCCTCGTCTAGTTAGTAAGCTTTCTCACCTTTCACGACGACGCTTGCAGGAGTACCATCGTTACCCAGATCGTGAGCTATTTCTTTATCGAGGATTTCGTGTTTTATTGGGGTCACCGTGCGCTGCACTCGAAATGGCTGTACCAGAACGTCCATTGCGTCCACCATGAGTGAGTGCCGCAGCCAGCCGCTCCGCTTTACTCTCCCTCCCGCCTCCCGCGTACTAAATCTCCCCTTCTCTCTTTTTGAGCCTCTAGATACGCGACGCCGTTCGGTTTGACATCCGAGTACGCGCATCCCGCGGAAATCCTCTTCCTAGGGTTCGCCACCATTCTCGGCCCGGCCCTCACGGGCCCGCATCTGCTCACCCTCTGGCTCTGGATGAGCCTTCGAGTTCTCGAAACCGTTGAAGCACACAGCGGATTCGAATTCCCCTGGAGTCCGTCCCGCTTCATTCCCCTCTACGGCGGGTAAGTTCATTTCACACCAGATCATGCAATCATACCTACGCTATACGAGGTCCTCTGAGCGTAGAATGCAATTCGTGATGGCTGCAGGGCGGAGTACCACGACTATCATCACCGCTGCGTGTACACAGACTCGGGCAACTATTCGTCCACGTTCATCTACATGGACTGGTATGTGGGCTTGGATTGCTCGCACGTACGGTTCATGTCCTGTGGTGCCCGCTGATTGTGAGCTATGTGTTGTGCAGGATTTTTGGAACTGACAGGAACTACAGGAGAATGAAGGCTCTGAAAGCAGGCAGTGTCAAGGACGACGCCCCTACTACCAATGGTACGAAGAAGGACTCTTAGGCTAGACAAGGTTGCTCCTTGGACTGCAACTCTGCGTTGCAAGCTCTGCAATGCGAAGTAAAATCCACCACGCCCTCGTTGAGGGCGCCCTAGGTGAATCTTCAGATAGTTGTCAGTCAGCCACGTCACACTTATGTTCCCACGCATTCCAAGGCACAATGGTGGGGCAATAAGTTCCTCGATTCGACCCAGATGGCTGCTCTCTCCTTAGTCCCACTTATTTTTCATACAATCCCAACGCCTGTGAGAACGGGAGCTGGATGATGGAATGGTATGCCAGCCCATGAGGAGGGGCATGGCGTGGGGAGAGTTTTCCTCACTGTAATGGAGTCGTGTGTCTGTTATCCATGCACGCGGGAAAGGAAAGGAATGGAGCTTTGACCAATAGAGGCTGAGATGGCTAGAGGGTTTTGGATGGTGGAGGCCAGGGTGAGCTGAGGGTGAAGCGCGCCTGGGTTGGTAATTGTTAGTGAGATCAGGTCGGATGAAGACAGATGGCCACAAAGGAGAGCATACCTGAACATTTTATTTCTGAGGACAAATTGACAGCTTGAAGGCATGAGCAGTGGCAAATTCTCAACCGAAAGTTGGCACCACTTTTGAAACATGGTCGATTGTTTGTAATAAGGTAGGCATTGCTTTTTTAGTGGTGTCTCAACTGAGGAGAAAGCTATATTACATGCGGTAATTATGTACAAACAGTGTACTACCTTTCCAACTAACAAGGAAATGCTCCATGGCGCCAGTTCCTCCTATCCATCCCGCAGTGGAGCTCGCACTTCAGCAGATCACGCCACACCCACCTCATCACTTCCGTCGTTCTGATTCCCCGTATCCTGCCAGCACTCACACTTCACCTTCTCCACTGATCCTGATTTGCCTCTTCCACCTTTATTCGAGGAGTTTCTGATCAGGTCGTCCTAGCATTTTTGCATCGCCTGGTGCTTGTTTCCGCGTTCATTCTCGTGTTGCCGAGCAGCATCAAGCCTGTCATTTCAGCAGCCTCAGCTCTCCTCACAGAAATTGAAAATTTGGAACCGAAACGGGTTCTCCTGGAACGGTCAAGTTTAGGGTTACCAACGACTCGTTGTCAGGTCGAATTTTGATACTTGTCAAATAGGCGAGCTGGCTGAGCTTAGGTAAGAGCCATCTTTCGTCAGGCCAGCTGGCGGCTCGCCGGCTGATGCGGCGATGACTGGGCCGCTGCCGTCGCCAGCCAATCGCACGCGCTTCAAGACGCCGGAAGGGCGATACCTGCTTTCGCACGAGAAGGTTCACCCGGCCGGCCTTATCCAGTACACCCATCAGCGCAATCCCACCAAGGTATTACGCGCTCGCCACGTGTCACTTCCAGATCCCTCCATTTCAAGAATCTCTCACATTCCGCGATTATAGAAGACAATGTCATTCCGCTCCCTCCCCCGTTACAGTCACGTAGCTGCATCGGCCGTGTCTCACTCACGCGGCTGTCGAGGCGATTCCTCGGAATCTGGTTCCACGATCTGCATCAAGCATTCCGTGCTGCCTCTCGCATTTCCTCGCCCTTTTCCCATACCCCTTTCAACCGCGCCCTTTCCCTCCTCCTTCCCCATCCTTCCCCTCCCCCTCCTCCATCCCCCGCCCCTCTTCCTGCGCGCCTCCCCCGCGCAGATCACATTAGCGCATCTCGAGGACCGGCCTCCGCCCCTCCCCCCTCCGTCACCGTCACCCGTTACCACGTCAGCAGGTTCCAGATTCGCCAAGAACTTCTTAGGAGCAGGAAGTGGCACGCGTGGACTGCCCTTCGGCGGCGGAAATGGCCGTCAATCAGGTTAGAGTGGCCGTCAATAATTTGAATGTAGCCGTCAGGAGGGAATGGCCGTCGGGTAGGTGGGAGTTTCAGTCATTTAATTAGGCCACTTGCTCACCTCACCCCCTTGGCAGACCCCCTCGTGCACCATCTCCTGTTCCTCCTTCTCCTCCTTCCCTTCCATCCTCTCACTCCCCTGCCTCCTCGCCTCTTGCATCCCCCTCCTTTCCCCCTTCCACCTTCCCCCCCAACCCCCATCCCCCGCCTCACACTTCCCCCCTTCCACCATCCCCCCCCCCCTTCCCACCCCCCCCCCCGCCCGCAGCAGCGGTGCCAGCAGCCACTGGCGCATCCGCAGGCGCGGGGACTGCAGGGGGGAGCAATGGGGCGGTGGGGGGAGCAGGCGGAGGGGGAGGGGCTGGGGATAAGGAGAAGGCGGGGGGCGAGGGCGAGGGGTCGTACGTGATCTTTAACGTTGGCGAGTCACTCTTTGTGGCGGACGCCAACAGTACGGACAAGGTGGGGAGGGGATGGGGAATGGGGAAGGGTGCGAGCCACAAGGTGGGGGCTGGGGGAGCGCAAGGTGGGGGCTGGGGGGGCGCAAGGGAAAGCAACTTTGGTGTGGCATGGCATGTGCGGGGCAGGGGTTGATGGAGTTGAGTTGAGATGAGAGTGAACCATGGATTATTTTTCCATCCCTCTATTCCCCTTACCCTCGCTTATGTTCCCATCTCCCCCCCTCTTTGTCTCTCTCGTCTCCTTCTCCCCCCTCCCACACCCTCGCATGGCCCCCCTCCGCCCATCCTCTGCCAGGAGCCCCTGAAGGCCCTGGAGTTCATGGGAGCGAGCGGGCTGTGCCACGCCCGCGGCGCTTGTTTGAGACGTCTTGTATTCCCCTCTCTCTCTTCACCCCCCTCGTCCCCTCCCCCAACCCTTCCCCCCTGCCAGGAGCCCCTGAAGGCCCTGCAGTTCATGGGAGCGAGCGGGCTGTGCCACGCGTTTGACGGTGCAGTGGCGGGCAGAGAGGCACAGAGCACGGCGGGCAGGGACGCACATGACCTGCTCATTGCCACCACCGCAGGCGACAGTGAGTGTCAATATAGCTCTCACGAGCAGGGAGGCACAGCGCACGACAGGCAGGGACGCACACGACCTGCTTATTGCCACCACTGCTGGTGACAGTGAGTGAGATTCTCAAAAGTGGCTCCAATGTGGCTGTGACGAGCAGGGAAGCACAGGGCCCGGCGGGGCGGACAGGGATCTGCTCATGTCATGGCTACCACCGCCGGCGACTGCGAGTTCTTTACTCACGGGTTTTATTACAAGCAAGCCTACACAAACCAAACAAATCTGTTTGCTAAAAGCTGCTGCCACGCAAAGTCATGGCTCCTGTATGGGGCTCCAAAGCACAGGGCCCAGCGGACAGGGATCTGCTCATGGCTACCACTGGCGCCGACTTTGAGTTCAGCCTCAGCCTCAGCCTCCCACTCTCCTCCTCGAACATGCACGCACTCCCCAGCCACCAACCCCTTGCCCGTGCACCTAGCTTCGTGCCCCACCTGCTTACCCCATGCCCACCGGCTTACCCCATGCCCAGCTGCTTACCCCATGCCCAGCTGCTTACCCCATGCCCAGCTGCTTACCCCATGCCCAGCTGCTTACCCCATGCCCAGCTGCTTACCCCATGCCCAGCTGCTTACCCCATGCCCAGCTGCTTACCCCATGCCCAGCTGCTTACCCCATGCCCAGCTGCTTACCCCATGCCCAGCTGCTTACCCCATGCCCAGCTGCTTACCCCATGCCCAGCTGCTTACTCCATGCCTGCCTTCTCCCGCCCCTTCCTGAAACTTTTCTCCCCTCACTTTCCCCTCCCTCCCCCTCAGTCACAGCATCACTGAGGGCGCAGCTAGCATAGGGCAGCAAGAAGCTGGTGGGGGCAGCAAGAAGCTGGTGGGGGCAGCAAGAAGCTGGTGGGGGCAGCAAGAAGCTGGTCGGGCAAGCAAGAAGCTGGTGGGGGCAGCAAGAAGCTGGTGGGGGCAGCAAGAAGCTGGTGGGGGCAGCAAGAAGCTGGTGGGGGCAGCAAGAAGCTGGTGGGGGCAGCAAGAAGCTGGTGGGGGCAGCAAGAAGCTGGTGGGGGCAGCAAGAAGCTGGTGGGGGCAGCAAGAAGCTGGTGGGGGCAGCAAGAAGCTGGTGGGGGCAGCAAGAAGCTGGTGGGGGCAGCAAGAAGCTGGTGGGGGCAGCAAGAAGCTGGTGGGGGCAGCAAGAAGCTGGTGGGGGCAGCAAGAAGCTGGTGGGGGCAGCAAGAAGCTGGTGGGGGCAGCAAGAAGCTGGTGGGGGCAGCAAGAAGCTGGTGGGGGCAGCAAGAAGCTGGTGGGGGCAGCAAGAAGCTGGTGGGGCTAGCAAGAAGCTGGTGGGGGCAGCAAGAAGCTGGTGGGGGCAGCAAGAAGCTGGTGGGGGCAGCAAGAAGCTGGTGGGGGCAGCAAGAAGCTGGTGGGGGCAGCAAGAAGCTGGTGGGGGCAGCAAGAAGCTGGTGGGGGCAGCAAGAAGCTGGTGGGGGCAGCAAGAAGCTGGTGGGGGCAGCAAGAAGCTGGTGGGGGCAGCAAGAAGCTGGTGGGGGCAGCAAGAAGCTGGTGGGGGCAGCAAGAAGCTGGTGGGGGCAGCAAGAAGCTGGTGGGGGCAGCAAGAAGCTGGTGGGGGCAGCAAGAAGCTGGTGGGGGCAGCAAGAAGCTGGTGGGGGCAGCAAGAAGCTGGTGGGGGCAGCAAGAAGCTGGTGGGGGCAGCAAGAAGCTGGTGGGGGCAGCAAGAAGCTGGTGGGGGCAGCAAGAAGCTGGTGGGGGCAGCAAGAAGCTGGTGGGGGCAGCAAGAAGCTGGTGGGGGCAGCAAGAAGCTGGTGGGGGCAGCAAGAAGCTGGTGGGGGCAGCAAGAAGCTGGTGGGGGCAGCAAGAAGCTGGTGGGGGCAGCAAGAAGCTGGTGGGGGCAGCAAGAAGCTGGTGGGGGCAGCAAGAAGCTGGTGGGGGCAGCAAGAAGCTGGTGGGGGCAGCAAGAAGCTGGTGGGGGCAGCAAGAAGCTGGTGGGGGCAGCAAGAAGCTGGTGGGGGCAGCAAGAAGCTGGTGGGGGCAGCAAGAAGCTGGTGGGGGCAGCAAGAAGCTGGTGGGGGCAGCAAGAAGCTGGTGGGGGCAGCAAGAAGCTGGTGGGGGCAGCAAGAAGCTGGTGGGGGCAGCAAGAAGCTGGTGGGGGCAGCAAGAAGCTGGTGGGGGCAGCAAGAAGCTGGTGGGGGCAGCAAGAAGCTGGTGGGGGCAGCAAGAAGCTGGTGGGGGCAGCAAGAAGCTGGTGGGGGCAGCAAGAAGCTGGTGGGGGCAGCAAGAAGCTGGTGGGGGCAGCAAGAAGCTGGTGGGGGCAGCAAGAAGCTGGTGGGGGCAGCAAGAAGCTGGTGGGGGCAGCAAGAAGCTGGTGGGGGCAGCAAGAAGCTGGTGGGGGCAGCAAGAAGCTGGTGGGGGCAGCAAGAAGCTGGTGGGGGCAGCAAGAAGCTGGTGGGGCAGCAAGAAGCTGGTGGGGGCAGCAAGAAGCTGGTGGGGGCAGCAAGAAGCTGGTGGGGGCAGCAAGAAGCTGGTGGGGGGCAGCAAGAAGCTGGTGGGGGCAGCAAGAAGCTGGTCGGGGCAGCAAGAAGCTGGTCTGGGGCAAGCAAGAAGCTGGTGGGGGGCAGCAAGAAGCTGGTGGGGGCAGCAAGAAGCTGGTGGGGGCAGCAAGAAGCTGGTGGGGGCAGCAAGAAGCTGGTGGGGCAGCAGCAGCAAGAAGCTGGTGGGGGCAGCAAGAAGCTGGTCGGGGCAGCAAGAAGCTGGTCGGGGCAGCAAGAAGCTGGTGGGGGCAGCAAGAAGCTGGTGGGGGCAGCAAGAAGCTGGTGGGGGCAGCAAGAAGCTGGTGGGGGCAGCAAGAAGCTGGTGGGGGCAGCAAGAAGCTGGTGGGGGCAGCAAGAAGCTGGTGGGGGCAGCACACTACTAACTCACCTTAATGTTCCCTCTCCTTTCCCCCGGGCCTGCTGCCTTCCTCCCTCCTTCCCATCTCCCCTCTCCCCACTCCTTCCCCCCCTCCTCCCCCAGTCTACACAGCATCACTGCGAGCACAGCTAGCAGACGGCAGCAAGAAGCTGGTGGGGGCGGCACACTATAGCCCGCGGGACGGCACTGCCAGCAGCAGTGGCAGCGGGGGCAGCAGCAGCGGGGGGGGCAAGGAGGGCAGCGGCGGCAGCAACAGCCGCTGCACAGCGGTGGCGTGGGTGCCGGGCGGCGATGGGCTGTTTGTGACTGCGCATGCGGATGGGAACGTGTATGTCTTTGACAAGGTGGGGCGCACCTCCTCTCTGTGTGTCGTGAGGCCACTAGGCTAGACGCTGTATACACAACATTCCGCCCGAAACCTTCGTCCCGTAAGTCCTTGATCCTCTGCCAAACAACATTTCACCCTCGTTCCCAACCCCCGATCCCCCAACCGCACCCAACCCTTCCCTGCCCCACACCACAGCACCGTGACGGCAGCACGGAGCCGGGGTTTGCTCCCATCAAGGACGTGCATGCCTTTTCCACCGCTCATGCGCGCTCCAACAAGGTGCGCCACTCCTTTGTGTTGCTTGTGAGTTGACTCGAATGTCCCTGTGCCTGCATCCCTTCCCCACCATCACCATCACGCTGAGAGCAATTACTCATCCCCCCTCCCCTCTGTAAGCATCCCCTTAAGCAACCCAAATGTCCGGCAGTACATCTGCCCACAATTGCATGCCCCCTGTGCGCCATTACCACCACCACCACCATCACCATCACCATCACCATCACCATCACCATCACCATCACCATCACCCAATTCTCTCACCCTCCCCAATGCCCATCACCCACAGAGCAACCCATTAGCGCGGTGGCACATATCGCCATCCGCCATCAATGCCCTCGCCTTCTCCCCTTGGGGCTCACACATGCTCCCCCCCATTCCCTCCCCCCTCAATGCACATGCCGCACAGAGCAACCCGAGTGCGCGGTGGCACATCTCCCCATCGGCCATCAACGCCCTCGCCTTCTCCCCCTCGGGCTCGCACATGGCCACTGTCTCCCGCGATGGTCAGTGCTGGGGGGGTGGACTGGGGAGTAAGGGGGTCAATCTAGAGCGCCAGGCGTGTGTATTAAGCTCCCTAGTAGCTCTTGATGTGTGTTTCAATGCCCTCGCCTCCTCCCACACATGGCTACCGTCTCCCGCAATGGTCACTGCTGGGGGGGGGGGGGGGTTGGAGGGGGGGGGTGAGGGTGGGGGTAAGGGGCTGACCTAGGGCGCCAGGCGTGTGTTTTAACGCCCTCGCCTTCTCGCCCTCGGGATCCCACATGGCTACCGTCTCCCGCGATGGTCAGTGCTGGGGGGGGGTGGAGGGGGGGGTGAGGGAGGGGGTAGGGAGGTCGATCTAGGGTGCCACGCGTGTGTTTCAACACCCTCGCCTTCTCGCCCTCCGGCTCACACATGGCCACTGTCTCCCGCGATGGTCAGTGCTGGGGGGGGTTTGGATGGGGGGTGAGGGAGGGGGGTAAAGGGGCTGACCTAGGGCGCCAGACGTGTGTTTAAACGCCCTCCCCTTCTCCCCCTTGGGCTCACACATGGGCACCATGGCACCGTCTCCCGCGATGGTCAGTGCTGGGGGAGCGTGGGTGGGAGAGGGGAGTGGCGCGCATGGCCAGGCTATTTGTTCTGTTGCATGCCGCTCGCTGCTCACTGTGCACTGCCGGCTATCTGTATGTGGTTGACCCAGAGTGAGTTCTTACGCCGCCCCAAAGCGTTCTCTGCCGCTTGTGTGCTGCATGCTGCTTCCGTGCCACGCCCCTGCGTGCGTGCAGGCTACCTACGAGTGTTTGAGTGGGAGCGGGAGGCTCTGGAGGGCGGGTGCAAGAGCTACTACGGGGCGTTCCTCTGCTGCGCCTTCAGCTCTGACGGCCGCCTCGTGGCCGCAGGGGGGGAGGACGACCTGGTGGCCGTTTGGGACCGCCACTCGCAGTCCGTGCTGGCCTGGTGCGAGGGCCACTGCTCGTGGGTGAGTGAGTCTTGTTGTGTGGGGGCCTGCCCTTTCTAGTATCGCTGTCCACATTGGCGCTTGGACAATGGACCATGGACCACCTCGTGCCTGTGGGGGACTGCCACTCCCATGCTCTGCTCGCCTGGTGCAAGGGGCACTGCTTCTGGGTGAGTCTTGCTATTTAGTCCGCCTCAACGGTTTGGTAGTGCTGTGTCATTTGGCGCTGGAGTATGGATGGCCTGGTGGTCGTGTGGGACCGCCACTCCCATGCTGCTCTGCTCCTGGGTGAGTCTTTTTATGGCCGCCCCAGGGTTCTTGTAATGCTGTGCAAGCTGGATGAGATGCGGTACTCGTGGGTGAGATGCAGTGCTCAACCGTCCCTCTCTCCTCTCATCATCTCCCTCTCTCCCCCCCCCCCCCTCCTTTCTCTTTCTCTCCAGGTCACAGCAGTGGCATTCGACCCCTTCATCTCCACCACACCCCCCCCCACCCACCATTATCGCCTCCCCTCCCTCACACCTATCTCTCACTCTCACCTCTCATCCATCTCTCTCTCTCCCTTCCCCTCGTCCCTCTCTCTTGCTCCAGGTCACAGCAGTGGCGTTCGACCCCTTCCTCTCCTCCACGCCTCCCCCACCCTCCACCATCGCCTCTCCTTCCGCCACCACCACTGCTGCAGCCGCCGCCACTCTCCCCTCCTCCTCGCCCATCCCCATGAGCAGCGCCAGCACCGGCAGTGGAGCAGGTGTGGTGGGGGCAGCAGTGGCGCCGGGTGGTGCAGAGGGCAGCTACAGAGTGGGATCCGTGGGACAGGTGCGAGGGGATCCAGGGATGAGGGGAGTGAGGGAAGGGGGATAGTTAGAGGAATGAGGGGAGTGAGGGGAGGGGGATAGTTAGAGTAATGAGGGGAGTGAGGGGAGGGGGATAGTTAGAGTAATGAGGGGAGTGAGGGGAGGGGGATAGTTAGAGTAATGAGGGGAGTGAGGGGAGGGGGATAGTTAGAGTAATGAGGGGAGTGAGGGGAGGGGGATAGTTAGAGGAATGAGGGGAGTGAGGGGAGGGGGATAGTTAGAGGAATGAGGGGAGTGAGGGGAGGGGGATAGTTAGAGTAATGAGGGGAGTGAGGGGAGGGGGATAGTTAGAGTAATGAGGGGAGTGAGGGGAGGGGGATAGTTAGAGTAATGAGGGGAGTGAGGGGAGGGGGATAGTTAGAGTAATGAGGGGAGTGAGGGGAGGGGGATAGTTAGAGTAATGAGGGGAGTGAGGGGAGGGGGATAGTTAGAGTAATGAGGGGAGTGAGGGGAGTGAGGGGAGTGAGGGTGCGGGCAGTGGAGTGGGAGGGGGTGTGGTAGTGGCCGCCATGCATCGCACATGGCACTGATGACAACACCATTCATTCCTTGTCTTTACTCTCATGCGTGTTAGTTGGCACCCCCATACCTTTGTTCTGCAGCATTTGCTCGCCTACCCTCTTCCCCTCCCTGCCCCCCAACCAACCCTACCAGGATACGCAGCTGTTGCTGTTGGACGTGGCGCTAGACCACGCAGTGTGCCCCTTGCACCTGCCGCTGTGCCGCTGTGATTACTGCCTTCGCACTCCCTCACCCCTCTTCCTGCACTCACTCCCCCTCCCGACCCACCCTACCAGGACACGCAGCTGTTGCTGTGGGACGTGGCACTAGACGGCGCAGTACTCCTCACCCCTGTGTCGCCTCTCTCTGTGCCACTGTAGTTACTGCCTTTGCACTCACTCACCCCTCCTCCTGCACTCACTCACCCACCCCCGTCCGCTCCCCAATTGTTGGCCCACCCTACCAGGACACGCAGCTGCTGCTGTGGGACGTGGCTCTAGATGACGTGGTGCTGCCCTTGCGCCTCCATGCGGGCCATTCACACCACCAATCAGCTGCTGCCACGTCAGCATCGCACCCTCATGACGTGGCATCGACCAGCACCCCCCCGCCCACCCACCCGCACTCCCGCTCGCACTTCTCCCACTTCCATTCTCACGCACCCGGCCACGCCTCTCCAAACCGAACACATGGTGCCACGTCAGCGTCACCATCCACGTCAGCAGCAGGAACTGCCACGTCAGCGTCATCATTAGGTCTGGGCAGATCCGGCGGTGCCCGGAGCTCCAGTGGGGCGGGGAGTGGTGCCGGTGGGGGCAGCAGCAGCAGCAATGCAGGCGGGGGTGGCAGCGGTGGCAGCAGCGGCGGGGCTTTAAGAGACGCACCGGGATCGAATGCATCTCATGGAGCAGCAGCAGCAGTGCTGGTGCCTCCTCCTTCCCGCAAAGACGTTCCGAGAATATCCCCAGTGATGGCACACAAGGTATGCACTCTGCCAGTGATGGCACACAAGGTATGCACTCTGCTAGTGATGGCACACAAGGTATGCACTCTGCCAGTGATGCTGTTACCTCCTCGTTGAGCTCTTCTCAACTCCCATCCCCACCAGCAGGCATGCACATCAGCAGGCATGCGTTGCAATACAGCCATCATCCGTCCCACATCCCCGCATCTATCCGTGTGCCGCTTCTGTGGCATGCTTGGATGGTGTTGGTGTGTGCGCATGCACCCCTTCACACATCCATCCCTCCTCGCATCCCACCCATCATCCCTGTGCCCCCCCACCCCTATTTCCCACCAGGTGCACGTGGAGCCACTATCAGCACTCGCCTTCTCACAGCAAGCAGTGCTCACGGCGTGTCACGAGGGCTGTGTCAAGCTCTGGCTGCGACCAGGCGCCACCCCCCCTCCCGGCAGCATTGCCGCCTCCTCCACTGTAGCCGTGCCCGCAGCGTTCGCTTCGCCTCTCCGGGGAGACCCCCAGTCAGCCTCTCCTGCCCTCGCCCTGTCTGACCGAGGGCTTACCAGCAACCGCACGGGCACAGCAGAAGCTGCTGCTGGTGCTGCTGGTGGTGGTGGCAGCATGAGTGCTGCTGCTGCAGCGACAGCGGTAGCAGCGGGGGCGGGTGCCAGAAGTGCTGTTTCCGGGCAACGAGGATTCAGATGAATGCATCCACGCACATGTTTTCAGTGGAGGCGCCTCGTGCCATATGCAAGAGCATGGTTCAAGGCGCCTACTAGGAGAGTATTTGCAAGTGCAGGGGTGTGGCCCACAGCTACTCACCTGAGTGGATAGCACATGAAAAGGTTTCATCAAGAGCACAAGCAATTTTAGCTGTGGCCTTGGGTTGATCTCTGATGTGGTTATGCAGTATTGTATGCAACTGTTGCCTTACTCTCACTGGTGACAACGGCATGGAATGATGTTGATTAATGATTTTCACATGTGCACACAGGAGTGTGATGTGAGTTCTGGTTGGTGTTGACGAGATGGGATGTGTTGCGAAGAAGATGCAAAGCAAGCATGTATGAACGGGGAAGCAGCAGGTGAGTCAGAGAAATCAGTTTTACCACATGCATGCATGCACCCATGCACCGCACAGCAATGCAATCCTTGTATGGTGGCAGGTGGTAGCACTGCATTTGCCCATGGCCCACAGCCCATGCGTGATGCATAGCATGCCATAGTGTCATGGGGCCAGCGTACATGCCATGGTGCCTGGCCATCCGTGCAGCAGCACAGCATCAGCGGCGGCTGAGGCATGTATGGGAGTGTGGTGTGGACCTGCTGCTGCTGCAACCCGGGCAGTGGGTGTGGGTGTGGGTGTGGGTGTGGGTGTGGGTGTGCTTCAAGAAGTTTCGCAGATGAACTATCCCCAAGTGGAATATTTGTTGCATGGGAGGCAGTGGGCGTGCATGGCACCATGACATAAGTCATTGGTTAGTTACAGTGAAGAGTGGTGACATGACAAGCATGGAAGACGGAAGACCTGTGAGCTGTCCCACTATTGGGGCACAGCACATGGCATATTATTAAACAAAGACCTTGGCAGCTTTACCTTGCTGCCGTATGTATCAGCAATGGCATACCCAGTGTTAAGCGGGGTTCCTACCTACCTAGCACCTATGATATGACCTAGCATCTAGCACCTAGCACCTAGCACCTAGCACGTATCATGTAGGGAGCACCTGGAGACAGGGCATGCTCCATCTGGTCACCTGCTCACTGCCTGCTAGCTGCAGGCACACGCTTTCCCATGCTGCCTGCCCGCAGACCCAACGCTGCCAGCTGGCCCATTTGGATTGGATCATGCCAGCTGGCTCTCTTGGACTCAACACTGCCAGCTGGCTCACCCTGACCTGCACCCAGCCAGCTCCTAACCAAGTGCACTGCTGCTGCTGCTGCTGCTGCTGCTGCTGCTGCTGCTGCTGCTGCTGCTGCTGCTGCTGCTGCTGCTGCTGCTGCTGCTGCTGCTGCTGCTGCGAGCCTATAGTTGACCCGCCACGGCAGAGAGCCGGGCGCCAGCAGTGCGCAGACGCACATCGCTGCTGTGTGTGTGTGGCGCCTTGAGCAACACGCCACCTCCTATAGCTGTTGCAGCGCCCACAACCCCTATAGGCGCTGTGCCCTTGGCCACGGAAGCAGCGGCAGCAGCAGGGCGGTCAAGGGTGGTTTGGGCGAACATTTCCGGCGACATGGGGACGATGGCCATGGCCTTGTGCGGCTTCTTGCCGCCCTTGTGGCTCTTGGGGTGCAGCTTGGCGCGGCGCTGGCGGAACATGTGCGTGTAGAGGTGCAGCCAGAAGAGCGGATACGCCGCCAGGATTACCTGTTGAGGGGGAGTGCAAACGGGGGGGGGAGAGCGGGAGCGACTTGCTAGTTGATTGCGAAGGGAGAGGGGGGGAGTAAGGGAGCAGGAGGCAGGTGGGAGTGAGAAAGAAGGGATGAGTGGATGGTGTCAGGCACAGGTAATATGTTATTGGCAATCACAAGGACGACGTGGCACTCAAAATGATGTGGCACTCACAATGAGGATGTGGCACTCACAATGCTGATGTGGCAGTCACAATGAGGACGTGGCACTCACAATGCTGATGTGGCAGTCACAATGTTGACGTGGCACTCACGACGAGGACGAGACACTCACGATAAGGAAGTTTCACTCGCAATGCTGACGTGGCACTGACCATGACGACGTGGTAGCAGTCGAAGGGCAGGGCGGCGAAGAGAGAGGCGAGGGGCTGCTCCGCCTTGATGAATGGCAGCGCGCTATAGATGAGCACCACTGCGCGCACAGAGAGAGGGGGGGAGTAGGGTGGGCAGGGCGGAGGGTAAGTGGGAAGGTGAGGGGTCGCTCCGCCTTGACGAAGGGCAGCGCGCTGTATACGAGCACCACTGCGCGCATGGGGGGGAATGGCGGAGGGAGGAAGGCGAGGGGAGAGGGGAGGGGGAGGCAGATGAGAACCACTTCGCGCGTGGGGGAGGGGGGGCGGGCGTAGGAGGTTAGAGGGGGGGATATGGGAGTGGGGGATATGGGAGTGGGGGGTATGGGAGTGGGGGGTATGGGAGTGGGGGGTATGGGAGTGGGGGGTATGGGAGTGGGGGGTATGGGAGTGGGGGGTATGGGAGTGGGGGGTATGGGAGTGGGGGGTATGGGAGTGGGGGGTATGGGAGTGGGGGGTATGGGAGTGCGCGATACAGTCACGGGAATGTTACTTTCGTTAATTTACTGTCGTCCGCGCCACTCACTCTCCCCGTCACCCGCTCTTCCGCACGACTCACTTTCTCCATCACCCACTCCATGCGCCACTCACTCTCCCCGCCACTCCCCCGCCCAGCGACTCACTTTCTCCGCCGAACATGCCGATGGGGTACAGCGGGATGAACGCCGAGTAGCGCAGCCACGTCAGCGCGCGCGGACACGTGCCGAGCAGCGAGAGCGCGTACTGCGGATAACGAATGACCTGGCAACAACGGGGGGCGGGCGGAAAGGGAGCAGCGAGGGACGGGGCGGGAGAGATGGGAGCGGGTGAGGGGGGGCATAAAGGGATTCATAAGGGGATTCACAAGAAAAACCTTTGTTTGTCGACGTCGATTACTATCATGCGCTTAGTACGAAACATATCTCATTTTCTTGTTGCATGTTTCTCCCAAGCACTCATCAAGCTGGTGACTGTGCCTGAAGACTGGACACGCAACAAGCAGGCTGGTCGCCTCGGGATTGCAAACGCGCGTGGAGCGGCACGCACCTCGAAAACTAGCGGAATGGGTTTAGGAATCAGCGAACGCACGTGTAGTGCGACACGCGCCTCGGAGTGAAGAACGCACCTCAGAGCAGCACCAGACGGCGAGCAGCACGAAGAGCGCGGCGTGCGTGTGGAGGGCGGGCGTGCGCCCCACGACCGCGAACAGCACGAAGCTGCGCCCCACCCACTGCACCAGCGGCGCTACCACTCCGCTCCGCACCAGCCCTGCGGGGTACGGGTATGCGGAGAATGGGGACGACAGGAGCAGCGGCGGAGCGGAATGAGCGTAAAGGGGCGAGGTGGGGGAAAAGAGGAATTCGGTAATTGAGGAGGAGCGAAGGAAACAAGTGAGCGAAGATAAGAAAGCGGGAATCGCGGGGAACGAGGAACAGGAAGCGGTGGTTGGTAAGAGGCAATTCGTACCCGTGGCGGCATGCACGGTCTCGAGAATGGACGCAAACTGACAGACGTCTGCAGGGACGGGTTGAAGGGGAAAAAAGAGAGAGAATAAGTAGTTGTTACGGAAGATGGCACGATGCAGCAAGGTTACCAAGGCAGAAGCATCGGTTCCCTAATTGCGGCCCCAAGCATGCTGCGACAAGCCAGCTCGTTCGACACTCTCAACCGGACAGAGAGCAGGCGGCATCGCGGTGAAAGGGGATGAGGTGAAGCGGGAGGTCGGGTGGAGCGGGGGCGCGGGACGTACAGACGAGGGGCCAGGCGGAGTGGAAGGCGCCGGCGATGGAGGCGGTGGTGACGGCGCTGTACATCATGGCGGCCAGCGCCGCGGCCCTGATGTGGCGGCGGGGTGGGGATGAGGTGCGGTGAAATGGAGAAAAAATATGAAGCAGGCGAAGGAAGGCGCGGAATGCGTGGGCCGAGGGGGGGTATTAGAGCATGGTGCGCGATTCCGGGTGCATGGCGGGTGGGAATGCACTTGGAAGGGGGGGAGGGAAGGACGAGGGTCATGCAGTCCAGCTGGGACTGGAGAGAAAAAGCAAGGAAGCGGGGAGTGGCAGCGCTAGACGCGGCGAGAGACGCACCATCCAGCGGCCTGCGCGAGATTGTACGCGGCGAGATACGATTTCGTCAACGACACCATTTTCTTGAAGTAGGGAAAACAGGTTGTAGTGGAGCCGAGTCTAGCTAATGTAAAAGTGAACCAAGGAGTGTAAGTGCTTCAGAGTCTCGTACGCATATAACCTTGTAGCATCACTTTAGCTATTCGTAAGTATCTCTAAGCAGCTTTAGGCAAGCCTGGCTTCGTCCGTGTTGCTCCTACGTCTCAAGAAGATAAGCGCGTTTTGTGGTTCTTGCAGAAATTTCAAGCAGGAAGGAAGTGGAGCAGTCGGTACAGAGGTGCACCCTAAGACAAAAGACTCACCCACTTGGCCCAATTCCCGAAATCCAAGTCGGGTCGGTCGGAGGTGCAGTGCCGCTTTCTGCATTCTCCCTCGAACCCCCTAAGTTCACCAGCTTCGCCAAATTCCCGAGATTCTTTCCGTTGATGCGACGGTGCGACTCGGCGAGTTCGTCGCAACCTATGGCACACCACCATTTCGCACCACCACCAGTAAACACCAGTAAACACCTCGGCACACGACATCCACGAATTTGCACGAAATTCTTCGCTCAATGTTGATGGTGAATGCTAGTGGATTCCAAAAGAAACGGAACGGCAACGAGTCGCATGGTGTTGTGATGGGCGTCGCACGCAACACCTAGCTCTGGGTGGAACGCGGGCGCCAAAGCATTTTCCAACAGCCCGCGCAAATTCACGACCAAATCTGCGATAGGGGAACATTCCGTTTTTGTTGGCGAGCCGTCCCGAAGACCCCAGCTAGGGTAACTTTTCGTGGACCAAAACACTTGTTACTTACCGAAAGGTGATGATACATTCCTATTTCGTTAGTTCAGATTTTTCTGCATGGGCCGATCACTAACGAGATACGAGAGTGTTTAACGAATTAGCGCTTCACAAGTGCGCGCTTCAGGTATCATGCAAGTTCTTGTTACGAGACGCCCTAGAAAGCCTAGGATTTGGTTAGCGCTTCGTCTACGCAGTCATCATGCGGAACCGGGCAGCACTCGACTCCCGCCAACATGACTCGATTCAAGCAGCAGAGGAGGCAGTCGACAGAGGCAGCGCTGTCCGCGGGTGGCGATGGCGCAACCCCAATCCTCCTCTTCCGCATCGCCATTCCCGAGGTAAGAGAAGATATTGGGGGAGCACTAGGTGCGGCTGGTAGACCGCGACTCGCGACTGCTCAGCTCTGCCCTCGTGGATTCACCTTCCTGAGTGCTCCTCTCCGTCCGTCCGTTTTCGCCCCACCACGCCACGCCACTCACTCCACGCATGACCCCTCGTCATTCCGCATCCTTCAAACCCCCTCACCGCGTCGCATCCCCGTCATGGCTTCGCACCCCTTTTTTCCCGCACTTGATGCTGAGCCTCGCGGCGCCCAGCGCCAGAAGAACTCGTGGCAGACCGCCTTGTGAGCGTCAAGTGGGCGGCAACGGCTGTCCTCTTCCTCTTCTTCGGCTGCCCGATATTCCTCCCCGCGCCTCCAACCGACTGCCAGTACCTCGCGCCATTACTCCCCCACTCCGCCTCCGCCTCTTCCCCCAGCACCCCTCCGCCACCCTCCCCCCTGCACCACTGCGCCATGGGGTATGTCGCCACCGCAGGCGTCGTGGGGGGCGGAAGGCCAGGGGCAGCGCGGTACGTGGTGACAGTAGCGGATGACGCTATAGAGGGTGCACCCGAGGGGAGTCTGAGGTGGGCAGTGGCGAACCTCGGGGGAGGGACTGCGGGAGGGGGGGAGCAGCAGGGGCTGTACGTGACGTTCAACCGGTCGATGACGATTCGGCTCAAGTCGCGGCTGTTCCTGGCGTCGCACACCACGATTGACGGGCGGGGCGTGCGTGTGAGGCTGCTGGGCAACGGGCTGGTGCTGCAGAACGTGACTAACGTCGTCATCCACAACATTGAAAGTGAGAAGCATCCTGTGCTGCTGTCTAATCGCCTCATTGCTGTCTCCCTCCCTACCACAAGATTTTCCTGTGAAAGCCAAACATGTTCACCTACCCAAGCAATGTCCATTGCCTGTAATATACCAAGTTCGCTTTACACCGTGTGTTTCTCTCGCTCTCCTTGCTGGTCCTTTGCAGTTGGGAACCAGCCTGGGGATCATGACGTGCTTCCCATTCGCAGCAGCCAGGTGGTGTGGATCGACCACTGCCACGTGTACAACGGCCACCGCGGCACTGTAGACGTTGTCTACAACTCCACGGATGTGACTATATCGAATTGCCGCATCCACAACCACCGCTTGACCATGCTCCTGTGGGCAGACGACTCGCATGAGTACGACCGCAACATGCGCGTTACGGTGTATCGCAACTGGTTTGAGAAATCCGGGCAGCGCCAGCCGCATTGCCGCTGGGGGCAGTGCCATGTGGCGAATAATTTGTACACCGACTGGGCGTTCTACTGCCTTGGTGGGAGAGTCTTTGCTAAGATTCGGTCAGATGGGAATGTTTTCAGGGCAGGGCGGGCACGGAAGGAGGTGACGCCGTGGTTTGGAGAAGCAAGTTTGACGACTCCTGGCTTTGACAATACGCCAACAATCCTGTCGTATGGCGATCTGCTGTTGAATGGGGCTACCTTTCACCAGTTTGAAGGGAAGGAGCCCATGTTTGATCCGCCTTACCGGCTTCCTCTCTATGATGCCTCGGCTCTCATGGAGACCTTCCTTAGGCAGAGTGCCGGTCCGCAATACCCATTCAAATTCATTAGATCTTACTTTGATTGGGATGCCTAAGCTGTAGTATAGCATTAGCGGTGTACCTGCTAGCTGAGCAAAGCACACTGTGGATGATCCAGATTCCAGATTCCAAGAAGTGTCGATGCACGAATTCGCTTTCGCAAAGGAAGCCAACTCAGTCGCGTGTCTTCGTGTGTCAGCAACGAGCCACGTCTGTCGCAAATCGTCGTCTCATCGTCGCAGGCAGGTGCCGCAGAAAGGAGAAGCTGTGAAGAAACAGGAATGAATGATTGACTAAGAAAATGAGTTGGGTACAAATATGAAACCCTAGGAAACTGTACCCCATAGTGTCTACCCCACTACAGCCTAGATAGGCTATGTGATTAATATTTGACACACCCCCATAGGCAAAGTGGGGGAGAACAAGGGGTCACAAGACCAGTCAAGCAAAGCAAAGCAAAGCAAGCTCAGGGTGGATCACAACGTCACCACACATTCCGAGCACAGGTTCAAAAGGCCACAAGGCCAGTTCACATGCAGGTGTATATATATATAAATTACAGTACAAGTAAAGTCAAGAGGTGAGCAAGTGAGGCCAAGTAGGCACAAGACCTAACATAGTACAAAACCCTGATGATCACAAGGCTGAAGTGCCTTGGTGAAGATATCAGCAGTGTTGGCCTGAGACGCCACGTAAGCAAGGCGTAACTGACCACGCTGCTGTAGCTCACGAGCAAGGAAGTAGCGAAGAACAATGTGCTTCGTTCTGTGCTCCAGTCTGTGCTCCCGACACAAGGCCAGCATGGCCTTGTTGTCTACGTACAGAACTGGAGGAGAACGAGGCGGCTCTCCCAGGTCAGTCAGCAGGTAGGTGAGCCAGCGTAACTCCTGTACAGCCATGGCCCCTGCGTAGATCTCAGCCTCACAACTGGAGCTGAGAACAGAAGACGAGCGGGTAGACCGCCACGAGACAGAACCGGAACCAAGGCTGAAGGTGTAACCTTGTGACGGCCGCTGAGTAGCCAGGTCGTCAACCCAAGACGCGTCTGCGTGACCAGTGAGGACCACTGGACTCCGCCCTCCAAGCACGAGCCCCATGCCCAACGTACTGCACAGGTAGCGCAACACCCTCTTCGCGGCAGCCATGTGCTCTGGTCGGTGTCTCCCAGGAGCAACATAGCGTGCCAAGATGCTAAGAGGGTATGCCAGGTCAGGTCGAGTGCAGGTCATCAGGTACATGAGGCAGCCAACAAGCTCTGGGTACGGGCCACTCGGCTCTACGGACTCATCCGAAGGCAGAGCTGAGAGCGAGTGGCGAGTAGACGGAGGAGTGGCCTGAGGCGAGGAGTACGTGAAGTCGAAGCGCTGAAGGACCTGCTGCACCATGTGTGACTGAGTCAGGGTAATGGTGCGCCGTGCTCTGTCCCGGGTGATCTGCAAGCCAAGATAGCTGCACAGTTCACCCAGATCTGTGCACGTGTGTCTCTTCTGCAGCTCGGACTTCACGTGGGCGAGTCCAGCAGTGTCAGCTGTAGCAAACACCAAGTCGTCGACGTACACGAGGATGTAGAACGGCTGCAGTAAGGTGTCGGTGCGAAGAAACAGCGACGGGTCAGCAGTAGAAGGAGCAAACCCAAGAGCCGCAAGCGTAGTCCTCAGTGTGTCGTGCCACTCACGGGGCGCCTGGCGGAGACCGTAGACTGGCCGCCGGAGGCTCCACTGGGTACCAGGAGGAAACGACCCAGTGAAGCCAGATGGGCGGCGCAGCCAGATCTCCTCGTGCAGGCTGCCCTGTAGGAAAGCAGTGCTGAAGTCAAGGGAGTGAAGCTCGTAGACACGCTGAGCAGCGACGTGCAGTAGAACCCGAAGAGTGGTCATCTTCGGGGTCGGGGAGAAGGTCTGAAATTAGTCAACTCCTTGCCGCTGACTGAAGCCTCGAGCCACGTAACGCGCCTTGAAGACAGGCGGAGAACCCGGCGGCCGCTTCACCCTGAAAATCCACATGCCACTGACGATGTTCGCCCCAGGTGGGGGAACCTCGTCGACGTAGGTGCCTGTGGACTTCCAGGAAGCCATCTCGGCGTCCATGGCTGCCTGCCACTGAGAGGAGTAGGGACCCTCTATCGCCTCTGCGTAAGAGCGCGGGGTCGGGATGTCTGGTGCATCCGGGTCTCCCTCAGGGGCAAGCAGCATGGACACGAGATGAGGTAAAGCAGCAGCAAAACACTGGAACTCCTCCTGCCTGTCCTCAAGGACGTCCGTGCTAAGAGCACACTCACCCCCGACGGACGGAGGACAGACAGACGCAGACTCAGCAACAAGACTAGTGGCGTAGTCTAGACGACAGTGAGCAACGAAGTCGACAAGCTCGGCAACTAAGGCAGACGCAGCAGCGGACTCAAAGGAAGGGTCAGTGACAGCAGTGGCTAGGAAACGCGTGACAGTAGGACTGGCAGCACGAAGGGAGTCAGACTCCGGGTCAGCAAGAGCAGGAAGAGAGGACTCTGGAGGAGACGGCAAAGGGACACGTTGTGGTGCAGTGGAAGGACGCAGTGCCATCTGATGCGTGCCCGGGACCGCAGGAGGACGCTGACGTGGAGCACGACGACTAGTGCGAGCAGTACGAACAGGTGACGCAGGACGCGACTCAGGCTCACGACGCTCAGCAAGACCTCCAGTAGGACCAGCGTAGGGAGAAGGAGCAGGGAGAGGGGAGGCCAGCTGTAACTGTGACTCGGACTGGACAGGCGGTGAACACTCTAAGGAAGGAGCAGGACCACAAGAAGGCGGAAGACCAAGAACCTGCTCAAGGAGCGGAACGAAGTACGGCCGCGGCCGCTCAGCACCTCCAGAACCAGCAGGGACAACACCAGCACCCCCAGCGTCAGCTCCAACTCCAGCAGCACCACCAGCACCAGTAGCACCTCCAGCAGCTCCAGGAGCGCCAACTCCAGCACCCACAGGAGCACCGGCTCCAGCAGCACCTCCAGCTCCAGTACCTCCAGCAGCTCCAGCTCCAGCAGGACCACCGGCAGACGCAGCAGCTCCGGCTCCAGTACCTCCAGTAGCACCTACTCCAGCAGCACCGCTAGCTCCAGCTCCACCAGTAGCTCCAGCACCAGTAGTACCACCAGGCCCAGCAGCTCCAGTACCTCCAGTACGAGCACCTCCGGGACCCGTGGCTCCAGCACCCTCAGCAGAAGCAGAACCTCCAGCACCGGCAGCACCTCCAGCTCCAGCAGCACGGCTCCAGCGCCGAGCAAACCACTCGCGCAGCTTCTGTGGAGAGGGTAGCTCCCGCCGGGACAAAGCACTCGAAGGACCTCCAGGTCCAGCACCGGCAGGTACCGCACCCCCACTCTCAGCAACCCCTGGCTCAGCACCCCCAGACCCAGCACCCCCAGGCTCCGCACGCTCAGGCTCAGCACCCCCAGACCCAGCACCCCCAGGCACCACACTCTCAGGCCCAGTACCCCCAGAAGCACCAGAGTCAACAGCTACCTCGACAGGCTCGACTGCATCTACCTGGGACAAACCTGAGGGGGCAGGACCCTGAGGGGGGAGGGGGTCTACCGGGGGGGGACCGGGCGTGAGGAAGAGCGACGGGGGGGGGAGGGGGGCAACGCGGTAGGGGAAGAGACGGTAGTACGGAACCGACTCGTCAAACGTGACGTCCTGGGAGGACAGAACACGACGCGAGGTGGGGTGGTAAAACTGCCAACCAGGCGCGTCAGGGGGAAAGCCGAGGAAGACGCAAAGAACAGCATGGGAGGACAGCTTGTCCGCAGACAAGTCTCGGACGAAAGCTCGAGATCCCCAGACACGGAACGCAGACGCATCACCAACCTTCCCCGTCCACCGCAGAGTAGGGGAGGTCTCCGGCAGGGAGACCCGGGGCTGAAGGTTGATCTGATGCGCCGCGTACTGAACCGCGAACGGCCACAGAAAATGGGGAGCAGCCGCATGGATCATGGACGTACGAGCGACATCCATGACCATGCCAATGCGGCGCTCAGCAATCCCATTTTGCTGTGGAGAGGCCGGAAGCGTGAACGTCTGGCGGATGCCCTCCGCACGACAGAAGGCTCGCAGAAGGTCGGAGGAAAACTCTCCACCTCTGTCGGAGTGCAGACGCAGAACAGGAAAGTCCGAGCCGAAACGCGGATCCAGTCGATCAACACCTCAGTGACCTCATCCTTGCGGCGCAAGGGGAAGACTGTGGTGTAACGCGAGTAGTCGTCAACCACCAGCAGGAAGTAACGCTCGTGACCCTGTCCACGGACGCGGGCTGGGCCCCACACGTCCATGTGGAGAGTCTGCAGCGGAGCCTCTGTCGGGGGAAACTCGGAGGAGTGAGGAGCGGCGCGCTGCCGCCCCTCGACGCAGGGAACGCAGGTAGGGGCAGGCCCTGGGGGAAGGGGAGGGAGGGACCGGGGAAGACCAGAGACAAGGACACGGGAGGCCATGCCTCGGAGACGAGGCAAGGAGGGGTGACCAAGGCGGTGGTGCCAAAGGAGGGTCTGGTGGGACAGGAGGCGACACGAGCAGGGGGCAGACTCAGGACCTGACCGAGACGCTGCAGCAAACACCTGACTCGACGTAGCTACCTGACCAGACGCAGCAACCGGTGGAGACTCTGTGGTCAGTGTGTACAGGCTTGACCCCAGTCGACGGGGTAAACGTGGCCAAGTGGCGGCCCGTCTGAGCACACGTGCAGTGGGTCACTCGCTGACTCGCAGGAGTGAACTGGTCAACCCCGCCATCCTGAAGGTCAGCACCACTCACCAAGTTCGCAGAGAACGAGGGGAGGTAGAGACCGGACAGGGAGCCTGACGGGGCCGCCGGACGTGGGAGGACAGTGGAGTAGTGGGCAAGGACAGGACCCCCAGAGGGGTCTGCCAGGGAGACCGCAACCGGCCGACTGAGCGGCGTAAGAGTGGTGCGGTCTCGAAAGAAGGAGCGGGAAGCACCCGAGTCGAGGGTGAAGGTGTGCAAAACCTGAGCCGACGCAGTACCTGAGAGAGCAGACTCACCAGCACCTGGAGCAGCAGACTCAC